TAGGGGTTCTGTTGTCTTACACGTCTTAGTGCGTTACAAGAAAACTTTACGCGTGATTCATACGTATGTCATCCCAACATGCTGTAACACATTATATACAGTGTGTGTTTGAAAAAAAAGGATGTAATCGTCTTTCAGACATTTTACCCCACACGGCCAAACAACAACTCACATAATCAATTAAAGAAAATGGCCAAATACTTGCCATTGTTTGCAGTTCAAAAATACTTCAAATACTTGCCATTGTTTGCTGTTAGCAGTGTGCAGCGTTCTTTCAGAAACCCTCCATCTTCCCCAGCTCCACCTGTATAGATATGCGTTGGTGGTATTTCATATGTTATATGTGCACCAGCAGCAGCATACCTTACATGCTCACAGCAGCATATTGTATTGCAGTAGCAAGTCTTATTTGCTCTTCAGCAGCAGCAGTGTAGCAGATCTGTTCCACCAAGGCCAAATACATACATTTATACAATTATTTGACAAAGCACATTATCTGTGTTCATCTTCATAAATCAGGTCTAATCAATTAGATATAGCAGTAGTTGAATTTATTGTATATTGTGTCTATATCTTCCTCTCCCCATTTCAAAACTTTGATAACCCTGTTTTGATAGTCACTGTCTATTTGCCGTGGGATCTTGATATGTGCCATTCAAATGTGTTCTCACCCATGTCATTTCCTCTTTGGGCCATCTATCACAACAAGTTGCACAAGTGCCTTTTCACTGGTCACTTGTCACTATTGCTAATGCAAATTGCATTTGCATGAAAACTTTTTGCCTCATGGGCCCATCCTGCCCTTGGGATCTGTGGCCACTGCTGCTGCACATATCGACAATCAGATTGAACCCCGGTGTCAAAATAACACTATTCCTGCCTCTATAAATTTGATCTTGTGTAACCGCTATGTCATATTTCCATACTCACATAATCAATTACAGAAAGTGATGACAGGTTTTGACACAGGAGCTGGATGAGCTCCGATGCGGTTCTGTTTCCCAAACATGCAAACTTGATGGTGGCTGCTGACACACAGAGCATATGAATTCAACAGACCTTACTCACATACCCAAAGCATAGGCCTACCTCTATTAGTGACTAAATCAGATGAACATCAAAACAATATACTAAAAACAAAACATTCATTTGCCAGGGCACCTTCATAAGTTTGACAATGTTAACAGTATGGGAAGATTTATTCTTATCCTAAAAAGGAGTACCAGTTCACTAGAGACCATTTTCTCTTTTTTTCTGTTTACGTTTGGTCAATGCAAGGTTAAATGCAACTCCATGGAAAAATCTGTCCCTGTAGGCATCTGGGCATAACAGAAATTGTGATAAAACACTGCAAAATAACATAGTCAAATGCAATAGAATGATAATGGTGTGAGGCGTAGCATTTGGTAGATAAGATAAAGAGCTACAGTCTGGACAAATATATGCCTATAAAAGCAAGCTTTAATGATTCCAGATAAACCTGACGTCAGTGGCGTAGAGCTTGAATCGAGGAGGTAACATGGAAGAACTTACAAAGCACACATACTCTGGCCAAAACATTAAGCTATTTTTTTTTTCTCTGTCTTTCTCCTTTTACCCTCTTAGTTTATGAGTCAGTGGCATGTAATCCCATGGGTGGTGCAGCAATCTGTAGCTGTGCGGACATTTATGAAAACTTTATAATGGCTTATAAAGCTGAGAAAAACAGGCGTATTGGCAGAATAAGAGAGGGATTCTCCTGTGTTATCACAAACCGTTTGTGACTGGCTATAAAGTATATATTGTATTCTCTTGGCCCTTTCAAATATGAATTAATTCTAAACTTTGGAGAGTCCAAAGGGAAAAATCTCTCAGTAAATATCTGCAAATAATGCTTTAAATATACAATACCTTGCAAAAGTATTTAGACACTTCTCGTTTCACTAAATTAAAGATTCCACATCTATTCCATGTGATGTTTAAAAGCTCTTTCAAAGCAAATCATTTATTTTTAATGTCTTTTTATCTTTTTTATCTTTTTTCATGTACACATAGTTTTTGTACAATACTTTACTGCTTTGTGGGTGTGTGTGATTTTTATCATTTGTAATTTGTCACCAATCATCTTTATTTCAATAATATTTATAAAATCTGGACAGAATTGAATAGTCAGGAGCAGGTTTTGAACTCGTTTCTGTTTCTGGCTGTCTATTTAAATGTTTTTTTGGGAACACTCTCTATAGAGGCCAGTGTTAAGCAGTGCTCTCAGTATGGTGCATATTTTCTTTCAGTAGCAACTGTAGAGCAGGGCCCAAGCAAAGTGCAAATTGAATGCAACGCAACTCACTTAAAGGGTCCTTTAAGCGAACCAAAGTCTTGATTTTGTTTTGGGTGTACTAGAATATGTTTTCATTCTTGGTTGTTAAAAAAAACAAAACAAAAAAAACCAAAAAAACAAAACAATTGGTCTTCACTCGCTAACCTTTTTTCTTTTTTTCGTTCACTGAGATTTACGTCATTGCTTACGTTGCATGAGTGCCCACTACTGGCGGAACCTTTGCAATAGGCTGAACTGGAACGTGCTAAGCCCTTGATCCCTAGAATCCACCATGGGGTTGATTTGTTATTTATTTTTCCCCGACAAAATTGAGTTGTTTACATTTTTTTTATAATTAATATGTCATAGAGTTGTTTGTGGTGGGGTAAATTAAACCCAATATGCGTTGACGTCACAATCGTGTTACATTGTGGTATATGGAGCTGCCTGAAGTAGACTCGCTCCCTCTGTCAAAATTGAGGAGCTGTGATCTGTCCATATAAACTTCCCTCGTCTACTTCACGAAGTGGAACGCACTTCAAAATGGCGCCAGGAATTGCCCCGAGGGGAAGTGCTTAAGCCGCGTTTCCACCGCAGGAACTTTCCCCAGGAACTCGGAACTTTGGGGTGGTACTCGGTGTGTTTACACCGCAGGAACCAGGGTCTAAATGAAGTTCTGGGTAGAAATTTCCCCCCCAGAAAGTCCCTGCTGACGAGGTAGTACTTTTTCTGAGTTCGGGAACTTTCGGGGTGGGACTTGTGTGCTGAACATGCTGATTGGTTCTTACCACTTGTTCTTTCTGCCCGATGGCGCACGTTCGTCCCATCCATCAAAAGTTCCACCCCTCCAAAATAGCAAGTTCTGCTCAAATATTAAGGATGGAGTCAATATCAAACCAGCTTGAGTCCGATTCAGACCCTGACAATGTTAACAAACAAGAGGATCATGCAGAAAATAAATATCACTCTAATTTTGTTCACCTTAAGAAGGCCAAACAAAGGGATTTTGGAAACGGCGTAAAAAAAAAACAGCATCTCTCTGAGATAGCAGCAACACTCTACCTGCTGGCGAGGTAGTACTTTTTCAGAGTTCGGGAACTTTCGGGGTGACTTGTGTGCTGAACATGCTGATTGGTTCTTACCCCTTGTTCTTTCTGCTCGATGGCGCGCGTTCGTCCCATCCATCTCACGGTCAATGTCCGCTGATAACAAGGGCCTACTTTTATATCTAGCACGAGCTTGCTGAATACGCTTTGGGTGCTCGTCTCTTTTCTGCTGTTTTGTTAATTGCCTGAAGTGTATGAAGTGGACTCGCTCCCTCGGTCAAAATCGAGGGAACGAGGGTCTGTCCATATAAACTTCCCTCGTCCACTTCATGAAGTGGAACGCACTTCAAAATGGCGACAGGGTTCCCGTCGAGGGGAAGTGCTTAGGGAAGTTTGCAAGTGCGTGTCTAAAAGTGGACTGGAACGCAACACCAGTCTGGCTCCGTAGGCTTCAACACACCATTAGTTCCTGTTTTGACGAAAATGTGCTATCATTGGTTGGTTGGCCCAATGATGTGAATGGCACCACGTGTTCTGGAAAAGTTCCACCCCTCCATAACAGCAAGTTCTGCTCAAATATTAAGGATGGCATCAATATCAAACCAGCTTGAGTCCGATTCAGACCCTGACAATGTTAATGAACAAGAGGATCATGCAGAAAATGAATATCATTCTAATTTTGTTCACCCTAAGAAGGCCAAACAAAGGGGTTTTGGAAACGACGTAAAAAAACAGCATCTCTCTGAGATAGCAGCAACACTCTTCATCTTAGCGCAGCTCAACCAGTCCTTACTCCCTTTTTTGGTGTAGCTCCGTGAGTGCAGGCTATTTAAATGAGTAACTTTGTGACTTCATAAGATCCGGGAAAAAACGTGTTTTTGTAACCTTTGTATCCTTAAGCATAATAGCCCTTTTAAATGCATAAATGTAAATGTACGTTGTTCTCAGCTGTACTGTGTACCTGCTTGAGCTGTGTCGCAGTGGATTCTCTTTAATGAATTTGGGTTAGTTTATCTCTAATCTCTTTTGAATGACCTCAAGTAGGCTATTTTCCCCACAGCTGTTCTGTAATTCTAAAAGTGAATAAAAGGCTTTTAATTGTTATGGTTTTATCTAGAAAATGATAAGAGTTGTTTTATTGATCACATAGGACAACTGCCAGGCTAACTGTATGTCCAGTGTGTGCCGGCCAATATTTGCCTATGTGCCAATTTTCCATAGGCCTATGCGATTTCCAAAAACGGGGTGTGATTAGCTACATAAGTAATCAAAGTAGGCTAATTGAGTAATTTGAATATTTCAGTTTTAAGTAATTCAGTCATAACAAGTAATGTAATATTGTTAACATTATTATTACATAATAATGTAATATTTCAGTCATAAGTTGACTACTTTCGGCTTCACACTAGGCTTTAGGCTACAACTGACGTAGAGAAATCATTAATATGTAGGTTTGTATTAACATATTCAGCACCTCACTGGCTGTCCTGCAGAGAGAGAGAGAGAGAGAGAGAGAGAGAGAGAGAGAGAGAGAGAGAGAGAGAGAGAGAGAGAGAGAGAGAGAGAGAGAGGAGAGAGAGAGAGAGAGAGAGAGAGAGAGAGAGAGAGAGAGAGAGAGAGAGAGAGGAGAGAGAGAGAGAGAGAGAGAGCGTGGAGAGGGGGGGACGACGTAAGGTTCGACTGAGAGCTGACCGTGTTTTCAACAGGAAACAAATCAGAGAGAGGGAGAGAGTGGAAATGCTGTTGTAACCGCTGTGTTTGTCACGATTTTGTGAGTGTTTTCCTGGAAGCTGACGTTTAGCGAATCACGCCAATCTGGAGCCCGTTTGTTTAGACCCGGGAATCTAAGCCAAAGGTGTTTATTTTGTGTTTTTGGAGGCGTGAAGCTCGAGGCTCGCAGAATGACCGTTGACTGGCCCGATCTGCTTATCGTTTGCGGGCATTAGGTAAGAGCACTTATTTACACCGATCGTGGCTGAAAGAAAAGCAGGTTGCAAAATGTTTATTTTGGGCACAAACAATAAGACATGTTGTAGCTTAATTTGTATGTCGTTAAATCGCCCAAATCATGTCTTAATCCGATTAAACCCAGCGAATTCAAACTAAAGACTTCTGAGAGCTTGATATTGTACTTGTTCTTATGTTGAAGGAACTATCACTACCTCCGTTTGCTGGCGAAACAAACACAACGCATTTGCCTTCGAGGGTCTTTAGGGTGGAAATGAAGAGAATAATGGCAATGCTGGCAGTCCGAATGCTTGTGTTGGGCTTGTGGATAGGGGGGCAGTCAGCCACCGCGGGAGAGGGACAGTCCACTCCGGCCACATGCTTTCCGCTGTGCCGCTGCGACGAGGACGGAGGAGCGGACTGTTCTGGACGAGGACTGACCTCTGTTCCCACCGGCCTCAGCGCTTTCACATATTACCTGTAAGTTACCACGGTTACAATAACGTACAATGAAGTGCATGCTGGGAACAAGTGCATACTGCATGTAGAAATATGTGTTCGTATTTGGCTCTCATATCTAAAAAGTTCATTACGTTAACTTACATGTTTTTTTTTGTTTGTTTTTTTTGTTTTTTACGAATTACTGTAGAACACCATAGCAACCCCCCAAGAATAATGACGCATTTCTAGTTTATGCACTTACGTAAACGAACCATACATTGACCATGTAGTATCAAACCATGATAAACTCTCTTGTGACTCAGAAACACACCTTACTCACTTTTATTCACAGCATAGCACTATAACTAAGCAGCTGTACAAAATGTTCAAGATTAAGGGTGAAAAATCCAAATTAAGTATAGTTGTGATGGGCATGACTGGCAGTATAGGCTATCATTACAGTGCAAACAGCTAAATGTCTTCAGAAATTAATAGTTGAGATTTTTAGTTTTGTAGCTCAATAATGGTCATCTTGGGTCTCTTTTGGGTACTTTATGTGAGTGTAACAGACTGAATGCCATATGACCCATGCGGTTAGAGAGGGCTGCTCATCTATTATTGAATGCAGCCACCCTTTAAAACCTTACCAGCCTGCTTTTAAACCCATGCAGCATAAAAAAGGTAGATTTTGAACCAGTTATTTATGTATTGAGGTGAGTTGAGGTGCTTTTCTATGAATAGGGCTTTCTACAAATGTCTTTCTCAGCAGTCTACTGCTAATTATTTAGTTTTAGTAGTGCAAAACAAACACTAGTATTATATCTTTCTGGATTTATTTTACGGTTACATCTTCGTTTTTGAATTGAACTTTGAGTCACTGATAATCCAGGAGCCCTCCCACATTAAAAGACGCAAGTAATAGGTATACTGTTAAACAGTAACATTTACCATTACTGACTAAAGGCCTGTTCACTATAATAAGTAAAAATATAAAGAGAACTATAACTATATTAGTGTTCATTCCAATGCACATTCTATTTTTATTATTAGCATGAGCATGTAGAGAGTGTGCTGTCTTTATTATGTCGCTTTAAATGCTCAAGCTCCTTAAAGTCCAGTAATATCATGTGGCCTTATTCTCATAGCATTAGAATGATTATTACAACTTTATAGTTGTTGTCCTAGGTGTGAATGGGCCTTAATTCTTGATGCAGACTCCTTTGGTCTGTATCAACAAGCATTCACATCAACCGTGCATAGTTTAATGTCTCACCGGTTGACTTTGAGAACTTTTTGCCCCTCAAGTATTTTCCATCTGTTAATACTGAAAGGCTGGTTTATTGCTGGGCTGAGCCAGAGACCAGTGTCTGTGGCACGTGCGAATCATGTCCTACACCTCATTAGACTTTACCAGCATTTATTGTGCTTTCACTCTGTTGTAATTAAGTGTGGTACTTTTCTGCCAAATTGTTTAGAAGCACGTCTGGAGGCGAGTGTTTATTCTGCAGCTCTTTCTTGGAGCCCATACATTTTGAAAACAGCTTGACCGGGCTCTCGAAATATCTCTGCCAAGCTGCAGCATGTAACTCAACGCCAAGCTAAGTCCAGTCTGGAGAAGTGATAAAGCCAGAAATAAAGCCACGGAGTTAACACTAGCTGCAGCAGTGGTCATCTTAGATATCAGTGAATTATATGCAAATAGATGGACTGCATGTGTAGGCATCAGCAAGATGCTAATACTCCCTATTGGGTTTTGTTTTTATATTTTTTATATATGAAATATTTTGTTAGGCAGTGTTTTTTTACCAATATGAACCAATTCACCATCAAGCCACATTATATTGTTGAACTTGAGATAAATAATTTCTCAAAATGTCCCAATTATTCTGAATTACCACAATACCCCCCCCCCCTCTCTCTCTATATATATATACATTTTTTTATTCAGCATGAAATGAAAATTCTCCCTATCTATTGTGTAAATGCATTCTATAGATCTTATTGTGAACCATTCATCCATTCACTTTCAAAAATTCTAAAATAAATAATTATTAAAAAAGAAAAAAAAAACTGACGTATGCCGGACTTCTTCAAATATTTAGTCTACTTAACTCATCCCTCCACGTGTGCAAGCTCACCTTCATGTTTCAACAACCAATCAACAACTGATGGATAGAACCTGGTATCTGTCATATATTTTTTTATTTTTCAACAATCTGTTACACATGGATGCAAGTCACAATAGGGAAGAAAACATCTGTTGCTTGCTACTTCCACTTAATGATTTTTAAGACTATAAAATGAATGTGTGACCGTATTTTCTGTTTCTCTTGCGTAACATAAACTATGTTCGTGATGAAAGGTGTCTATGTTTAAACAGTTTGTGTTTTAGTGTGGTCCCAATTTTTGATAAAATGCACATTTCTGATCAATCCGCGAGTGTTGATGAGCAGATAATATATGGGACATCTGTCAGTCAGTCTGTGTGGTAATAGTCATAAGTTGTGAAATGCTGCATCCGGCTGCGTCGGCCTGCTGCACGCTTTACTGCATTTCTGGTATTTATTTATGTAATTGATAATAGTTGTGCTGATCCCTCTGCCCGTACTCTGGGTTGCCTTCAGCTGTCGCCACACTGTCTCTCCCTGCAGAGACGAACAGAAATGGAGAATTAGTGAGAGAAAGGACAATAGAGGGAGGGAGTAGAAGTTCAAAACTGGTAAAGTGACACAGAAAAATATGTTGGAGGATATCAGGATTCGGAGGGTCAGAGAAAAAAAAGGGAGGGAAACAAGTGTAAAACTGTGAGAGAGAGTGGGCACAGTCTGGTTGATCATTATTCCCTAGTCTAGATAGCAGCCATCAGTGGGGTTAATATAGTTTGCTTTTCTTCAACAGGTTGTTGCACAATACTCCAGGTTAATCATACTCTGTTTTAGGTGGAGTATCGTAGCAGGGCGAGTGAAAGACTTAGCATTGGCTTAAGAAACAAATATGCACTGTAGTATCGCTCCACACCAGGGAAACTTTGACCTTGACTGAGCTGTATGGACAGATGAAACTATATACTTATTTAACTCCCAATGCAGGTGGTTCATAGCATATTACAGTGCACTTTGGCCTTGATAGTGTTTTAACAAGCTCCCAGTAAAAGACTGTATGTTTTGTTTTATTGATAATAAGTGCATTCTTAGTGGGGGTTGGGTTTGGATTTGGGGGCAGTGGTTATGCTTAACTCATTTATTTGAAGAAGTATTGAAAGGTATTTTTCAAATGTCTTACATAGTTGTTTGTTAATTGTTTTACTTTTGTTGTTCACTTTATCCCCATGAAGACAGTCTTGCTACTCACATGGCATAAAAATGGCATTTTTTTCACTTCTTTCGTTACTTATCTTGTTCTTTTCCGGTAAGTTTAAAAAATATAAATTTTGTTACAATTCAATTGTATGTCCTTAATAGTCATAGTCATAGACTCCTTTATTTTTGACCCATGCTACTTTTCAATTTACCTTAACTCTTTTTTTGGTGTCCTGTCACTGGCTGAAAGAATTTCCCTTGTGCATATGTGTGTGTGCGCTGGCTTAGTGCAGTGGGGATATCCCCCCTTAACCGTCTGTCCACACGCCATTAGCCCACTCTTGCCTCAGCCTCAGTAAAGCCCTTCAGTATTGAGGAGCTGGAATGTGCCTTTGTGTCCCATTAACAAAACAGAGACGCCATGTTCTTTTCCATCTTAAAGGCTGTGGGAAGGGTTGCACGTCTACAAGCTCAGTCAGATGGAACCGGCAGCACCATTTTTCCACACCTTTCCCTGAATGAATGTATAGAGCGATTAGTGATCTTGTTTTTTCACATTCATGTCTGAAGACAATACCGTTTCTGTGCAGTCAGAGGATACATGAAAGAAAATGCCTGGTTGGGCAATGCACTTTTAATGGTGTTTGTGTGTCAATTCGAGGATTCAAGTTTGTCATTGCTCTTCTTTTGATTTAGATTATTTGAGCTGGCCACTGGAAAGGCCACTTTTTTTTTTTCCTTGAATCTGTCAGATAAAATTACTAGATAAAATGACTGAACTTTTGAGATGCAATGTTTTACCTGAAGATGGTTTGTACGCCTCAGTGCTGCACAAATGATTTACAGCTCTAACTGATTTTATGTGGTGAATTGGGATGGTTCAGGATAAAGGTTGTTTTATATGCATATGAGCACAGGCAGCCTTCCGTCATACCTGCACACACACACACACACACTACAGGTCATGAGAAGAGCTCTGGAGGAGAAGAGGGCCCTCTGTGTTCAGCATTCTGGCAAAGACTCGCTCAGCCGTTGAAGGTGAAGTCTCATGAATGTCTGTGACTTCATGTTCGTTTTTACAAGAACAACTTTGCGTATCCAGTTTGAGTCCCAAACATTCAACTTAATACTAAAAAATCTAGGGTTGGCAACCAAGTTTTATTTAAAATCCAGAACTGGTCAATTTTTTAAGTGGCTATATGGAGAATTCAGAAACCCTTATTAGCGACACCGCTGTCTGTTAAGTGAACTGCTTGTGCTCACACTCTTGCACACGTAACGTAATGCCCCGATATACTCACAGTGAAGTCCTTTTTTCATTCTTTGCTTAGGTTTAAATGAAGTTAGAGCGGTGTTTAGATGAATATGTAAATAGGTATGTAGATGTAGCGATGTGGATGTTGCACAAGCTCTGCAATTCACCAGCATCATGTTTGCAGATGAAGTTATTAATAATATTCAATATTCACTTAATATTCAACAATATTATTGATCTGACTGTACTGACGCTTTTGTATGAGAACTGATCTAAGCTGGACGAGGACATCCTTTTTTTTCCCTCAGAAATGCAATAGATGAAATGGACTATTTGACTAATTGATTATCTTTACAATGGAACTGAAGATGCATCCAAGACGCATCATTTTCCTGTTGTAAAGCTTTGCAACTCTGCTTTGAAATAATCTTTATTGTGTAAAGCACTATATAAATAAAGGTGACTTAAGTTATGATGTTATGATAGTTTGATTTTAAAGTATATTTGAGACTGTAGACTATATCTGACAACGTGAGACCATAGTTTTAAATAATCGCTTTTCTTTGCATGACACATTGACATTACAGTACAGAATAGCTCTCTTGGCAATATCCTGAACATTTTATAAGCATTCATTTCATGTGTCATAGAATGGAAGAGAGGCTCTCAGGAGCTCGCGTAAACGTCACATCCTTTTGATTTTCTCGGCAATAACCACCTGGCTCTACAGTCTTTCATAGAAAGTCTGGGAAAGGTATAGTTTTTTAAAGTATTGTTACAATTAGTTTCGCAATTAATATGTGAACTTTTTTTTTCATATAGCCCCTTTAAGCTCTTGAATCTACAGCTTGAACAATGTTGTCAGATTATAGAATAAATTACTCTAGTCAAGTATATTTATATACTGCTTTTCACAATTTCTTAGTGAAAAAAACAAAAAATGGAGGAAAAAAAAAACCTTGGGAGTACCCAGGCTCAGTCGGAGGCCAGTTCTCCTCTGGCATTTATGAACTAGATGACGGATTTAAAGTAACTGTAAGGTAAAAAATGTATATGAATGTCTCTAAACAGACTTTAAACGCAAACCTGTGATAAACGCTGATGGCGTTCACATGCGCATTAAGAATTGATTCTATTGTTATGTGCGTTTGAATATATGTGCGCACTGCGCAGGTTTGTAATTTCCTACCAAACCATGCCTGAACAAACTACTTGTCTTTTCTATAAATTTGATACAGAATTTTGTTTTATTTCATCACTTCGGGGTAGGTACGCGAAACGAAATTCACACCGCTTTATCTGTAGAGTGGGAAAGGGATCCTCTAAAGGGAGAGGTTAGTTGGTACTTCAGCACTGCATTTTCATTGGGTCCAGGCTAAGCTCCTCATCAGATCTGAATCCGGCATGTCCGGCAGACAATGGTAGGATTCCACAATTTTGGTGCTAAATAGGAAAAGGATCTACCGCCAGCAATCGATTTTAATATTCTAGGTATTATTAACTGGCCTGAATTTTGAAATCGCAATAGACGTGAAGGACTATAATGCATTAAGAGCTCGCTTAAGTACTGCATAGCTAAACTATTTAGTGCTTTGTAAGTAATCAACACTATTTTTTTTAAAAATTCATGGGTTTAATAGACAGCCAATGCAGTGTTGACAGAACCGGACTAATATGGTCTTACTTCGTGGTTCTGGTAAGAACTTGAGCTGCTGTGTTTTGTACTAGCTGTAGTTTGTTTATTAAGCAATAAGCATGCAGGGCAACCACCCAGTAGAGCATTACAATAATCTAGTTTTGTGTCCAATAATCAGAATCTCTGTTTTTTTTTTACGAATTTAGTAGTAGGAAATTTCTAGTCATCCAATTATTTAAATCAGCTATGCATTCCGACTGTGACTCTAACGAGAGCTATCTCTGTACTATGGTACGGTCTAAATGTAGTCTGATTCCTGAACAAATCACTCTAATGAATTGGATCTTTTTAGTGAAACAAACACACAAAACTTATAACTTTCTGTGAGTCTGTGAGTTTAGTTACTGACTGATTCCTTATATGACATTGTGTATTTAAAGATACACATTATGAAGTTTTTCAATATAATTCTATAAATATTAAGGACATTAAAAAGTTTTACGTTCGTAAAGTTTTTCTTTTGTGATTTTATCATTGAATATCTCATAATTTGATCAGGTCTCTTTTATTTTTACTCAAAAATAAAATGAACGGACAAAGAGGAATTGTAACTAAAATGGTTAAATACTTTATGATACCCATTCCTAATAAAATCTGTATCTTCCCTTTTAGCTTCCTTGTTTTATATCTGTCCCTCTTTTTGTACTTTTCTATTTTTGATGAGCATAAACAAAGGCTCATGATGGTTAAAGAGACACGCAAGAGCTTTTCTCTCACTCAGAAATGGTGGATGTGGTACAAAGAGAGACTGTTAGGCTGCCAGAACTTCTTAAAGCATTGCAAGTGTTTATACATGCAGCTTTCAGACCTCAAATCAAACCTTATTGGCCATGCCCTTGTCCTGTGGACTTCGTCCCATGTGAAGAAAATATCCACCAAATGTCCGTTCTGCTGTAAGGAACTGTGAGGATTGGATTAGTGGACTGACAAGTAGTCCCCAGTAGGAGTCCGACCGGAGATGAGCTCTAATCCATGGTTTGCGTGTGTTGTATTCTCTGTTGGTTTGGCTCCTTGAGAAGTGTCCAGCAGCTGAAGAAGTGCGGATGTCTTCTCTGTCCAGCTCTTCCAGTAAGGCGTGTTTAACATGGCACCTCTCCTTCTAGCCGAACATTTGTACGTGTGTGGTCCTACACAGTGCCACTTGGCTGGCATTTCCTCACTGCCCATGTGCTCGACCCCTAGTGACCTCGAGTCGCAGGGTCCGTCATCGCCCCACAGCCGAGCGCTTCCTGACCTGGAAATGACCCACCCCTGTGTCCCCCGCATCTGTCCACGCGCTGCCTCTGCCAACAATTTGTATGTGTTTATGAGTGTGAGAGAGACAGAAAAGCAGAACCTGTTGAATTTATTTAAACTGAGTTGATGATACATTATGTCTAGAGGCCAGTAAAATAAACAGTTATTACCAGTTCATAATTTTCTTCCTCATTTCGGAAACCTCTGCTTTCTCCTCGTCTGGTTGGCATGTCATATTTAAGCCAGTCATGCTTCATTTTGCGTTGCTATTTTTAAGAGTTTGCAATATTTTTAAGAGAGAGGGAGAGGGAGAGAGAGATTCACACTGATGTTTCACACTGATAGTGTGTCCTGTCAGTCACCCTACCTTATAAGCAGAAAAATATATATTTTTAATTATTATCATGCACATTTTGTTATTATTATATCAATAATATACATTATGTATAATTTGCCCTTCCAATTCTGAATCAGTTTCTGGTTCAAACATAAATGGCTGAATTAAACCAGTATTTCCACTTGCCATTGTGCAACGTTTACTACAGTTAAGTTGACCAAGTGGATCAGGTATTCTAAGCTCTTGGGATTGAGTGGAGGCGGATACTAATTTGCATATTCATGGCTGCTTGTACAGTATATTAAATGAAGCAAGGGTGTAGAGTTACATTCAAGCTATTTTAAGGCCTGTAGAAATTATTTTCACAGAATAAATTATTTAGAAATGTAATTTTGGTGATCAAAGCTTAGTTTTAAGCGATACAATTATTGACTACAGGGGGACTTTATTTCAAATGATCAATGTTAAGTTGAAAACAGTTGCCTAATATTTTAGTGGAAACTGTGATACACATTTTCAGGATTTCTTTTCTTACTCAATTCTTTCAAACATGCTTAATGAATCTTAACTTTCCTTAGCCATTATAAAAAAATAAAAAACTATGTAGTATTCAACAAAACGGTAGTTTATGAAAATTCAAATATATGAATCAAACTTTCATGATATTCATCATTATTTGAATGTATTTTAACTAATGTTTGATAGAGAAAGCATGGCTCATTTAATATTATCAAGTTACTTTCACTTGCAAATGTTCACACTCCATTCAATGGCTTTAGAGTTATAAGAGAGTCTGAGAGAAGGCAGGACAGACTGGGGTACTGAGGTAGTAAAGAGGCCCCCCTGTAATCTATTAGAGTGTTGAATTCTAGTCAAAGCCAGTATGATTCACTGTGTTTGGTCTAAACCAGCTGAGAGAATCGTGAGGACAGCCAGACACTCCCTCCGACTCACTCCATTCACACGCTCAAGATCATTCCTGTCCTCCAGAAACGGAGGGTTGTGAATGCTCACAGAGATGGCCATGTGATTATTTAGAGATTGTTCATGGTCAATGGTGTTGGTGGGACGCAGACAGGTTGCCTTGGCAGTTAATGGGTTTGTTTAATGTGAGCTTCCTGATGGAGCCTTGAAGAAGACCATCTGCTGCGTTAGAAACGCCTGTCTCCCATCACATCATCTTTTTCTAATGGACACCAGACAAATGACAGGATGAAACTCTGAGATCAGTAGAAAAGAATGAAGGCGAAGGATGCAGAGAGAAACAGGGAGAGAGATGGGTCAAGCGATAATCAGAGGGGGTATACTGAGTGAGATAAACTGGGAAAGTGCTTAGCCACATACACGAGCGCACACACACACACAAACATTCTGTCTCTTAGTGTCACAACACACACAGACACGCAAATAGGTGCAGCCACAGACAGGTCTGTACACACACTCTTACTGGAAGGTGGGAAGCTTCTCTGGTCTCACTGGAATGTGAAATGGCTTCCCAGAAAACTGGTTTTATTTGGGATTCATTCCCATCAAGCTTCTGTCCAGCTCAGCTCACCTATTCAGAGAGAAAGAGAGGGAACACATGGACCAAATTGAGAGAGTACTGTTAAAAAATTCTTTTATATTTTACAGTAAAATGCTTGCAGCAGGGTTGACAGCCAGTTACTGTATTTTTTTACAGTAGCATTTCTGTAATTTAATTTACAGAATTTTACTGTATTCTGATTACAGTAAATAACAGTAAGTTTAAGTTAGTTACTTGAATCTTTGTATTTGCTTTTAGCTATATCTAGAGGAAGTACGTATGTAAAACAATATATTTTCCTGATTTCTGAATATTAATGACTGGCAGCTGAATTTTAAATGTTAATTATTTATCAACTGCATAAGCTTTAAACATGGTTTGTAAATACATTAAATGTTGTATAATGCACAACTAAATTCCCCTATTACTTCACAAAACAAATTGTTCAACATCCTAATCTTGAAAAGCAAGTCAATTTATTTAATTCATAACTTTAAAAAAAAGTCATAAAACAGTTTATTTTGTATTATTTTGATTTCATTTTAATTTACAAACTTTTTTAAATGGACATGAAATTGCATATTTTTTAATTACTTGAAACAAATTAGCCGTCATGGCCCTTCACAAAGAAGAAATACGCAAACGACATACATTTGAAACCACAAGTTAACCAACATGATCATAATAAAATAGTTTACGGACAATTTTCACCACTTCATTACCAGACAAACATGTCCAAACAACAAGACCCCAAGTGAGTCCAACAAACTTATTATCAAAAATGGAGAATAATTCAGCTCCAGATGATTTTCCATCACATGATGCAAAGAGTGTCTAGAAATATTGAAAAGGACAGATATATTACAAAACATAATGATACAGTCAGAGACAGATAGAGAAAATTAAAAGGTTACAATTAAAGGAAAAATAGATATTTGTGTGTGCGTGTGTGCTTGCATATCAGAAATTCCACTGATAACCCACCACTTTGCTGCAATATGTGGGTTCACTGCAACCTGTTTCTTCTGTACCATTTGGCCTATCATTTAAGATGGCAATTTTCTTCTTTGTTCCTCTCTCCGGATTGATACATACAAAGCACCTAAAGGGTTAGGAAACAGACAATATGTAATTAAGATTGGTTTTAAGTTTTTGATGCTTGTTGTAATCATGTTTTTGAAATCTGTTAGAGCAGTGTTTCTCAACTCCCAGGAAGTTTTATATGTCCACTAATTAAAACACCTGATTTTACTCATTAACTCAACAGATATTATATCAAAAAGCAAGTTATACATGTGTAAAATGTACTAAGGTTGTTAAGAATTCAATCATCATTACCTTTAAATGAACTCCATGGTGCATGCCTCCTTGATTATGTATGCAGTGAACAGCAAGGCCAGACAGGAAGGTGGGCTGACTGCTCTCCTCACACACAACTTGGCCTTCCAGTGTCCACTTGTCAAAGTGTCTCCTAAAAACCAAAACCATAGTTTGTGACTAGTTTATTTTTTACTATACCATTTTTATTTTTCAGCTTTTTACATTTAAACTATATTTTAGTATTCAGAGTGCAGGAACTCTCTCTTTTAAATTAACAAAGGAATTATACAAACAATAAGCAAATTACACAGAGAGTAGCTATAATATATATATATATATATATATATATATATATATATATATATATATTATTGAAATGTAAGGGATCTTTACACCAGCATGTTAAACATGCGACAAAACTGGTATAGCACCATTCAGAATGTAGCCTATATATGACACACATCATCCTTGAGTCTGACGCACCGTTTTAGCAAAGGCGTTTTCATTTCGGCACCTGTTTTAAAAGATGACTTGATTTTGATTTGATTTACACCATGAAATAATCACGACGAAGGGTGCTGATCAACATGAAGCTCGTATGAAAACCGACTGTTGTCAGTAAAGCATGTACATAGGAGCCCATAAATCCCGAGGAATGTGTAAAATTCTACAGCGTCCCGTACGGAGGATCCAGGGTTACCAATATGAACCGCGAATATAACGCTACTTTCATTGTCTACGAGTAACCTAACATGAAAAAAGTCACTTACCACAAAGTTGAGAATCACTCTTCTTGCCTCTACCCGAAAATCCACAGGACCGTTGAAGATCACAATGCCTCTGTAGATTTGAAACTTATAGCAATTTTCTGTATTTTGAATCAAACCGCCACACGACCCCAGAATGCATTGCAAATTACAACAATATGCTGTATTATTAGAAAACAGCCAGCTGCTGTAAAATAATGCTGTTATTTTTACATTAACTTGCTGACCATGAGACTTTTCAGTATCATACCCTTTTGGGAGGCAACATACATTTAGGTAATTCTGTCAAGGACATCTCGACAGCACTCACTGCCAAACATTTGTAGAATTTTGACCTTGCTGATATTGTATTAAACAACTCTTATTTGAAGCTGTCGAGGTATCCACTGATGTTGATATCTTCATAACTTATCCTTCTTCTTTAGTATAGGAATCTTTCCTTCTCACCACCATGTTTGATACCAACTTTAACTGTAAAGCATTTTGATAGCACATGCAATGTGTTCATGTAAGCCTGGATATCCTGTTAAGCAACAAATTAAAGTAAAGAAAATCAGCTGGGTTTGGATTGATGGGATTTTGGGTGAATTATCCCTTTAAATGTTTTAATTCCATTTCGAAAATGCACTGTAGTGTAAGTGTATTCATGCACATATTTTACATAATACAGTTTACGTTTAAGAAAATAAAGAAGAGAAGTGAAGGTGTATGGTTTGCTGTTGACACTTGTGCAGTCTAACTCCAGCGTATGTTGTTTGTGTGGACCGGTGGTGTGTCCATATCTCATTACAGATAGGCTATCAGCACAGCCCAAACACACTGTGAGCTTACAGGCATGGTGTTCCTGTGGAATTAACAGTTTAATACACTTCCTTTCTTGCATTCCTGCTCTCTTTCTCTTTCTGTAAATCCTTTGCTTTCTCTGTCTCAATTTTTTTTTATTTTTTTTTGAGGGGGGTTTGACATGTTTGCTCTCAAGGCTGAATGTTTGTGTTAGAGCTCACATGAGGGAATTGGCTTCTTGCTCTGTGACTCCAGAACTGAAGCCCTTCTTTGACTGGACATAGAGCTGCCAGTGTGTTGGTGTGACTTGGTGAATATATATTTATTTTTTTATACCTTTTTTTTAATAGGGTATACATTATGTGTGCATGTGTGTGGTCGTCATCCCTTCTTTAAGTATTGGGTAAGTCTGTAGGGTTTTTTTTAGGATCTCAGGTAGTTTCGTTCAAAGAGGGTTTAGACTGGAACTCATTACTCAGAGTTTAAATCCCATGTTCTGCGTCAGACAGCTTTTCCAAACATTTTAAGAAAAACATTTAAGTGCTGTCTTCCCAAACATTTAAAGAACCAAGAACTGTGTTTGAATTTGTATCTAAAGCTTATGTCCTATCTTTGAGGGCCATCAGGCTTATCCTTCTTTTGGAAAGGTGTCTTACACTAAGCTTGTGAACTAGAAGGCAATCTGTTTACTTATCTTTCTGCTTTTTATAATTTTGTTGTTCAAACTGTACAATTGTGTTCTGAATGGCAAACAGTGTGCTGGAGCTCAAATATGACTCAAACTTGTCTCTCGTGTAGAGAATGAGAAGAATTGGTCAAGCATGACATCATCCAACCCTGATAGGCTTTCAGTGTTTAGTGTTCAACCTCTACTGTATGTAATGCAGGAAAAACAAACCATCAGGCTTTCTGCTTGTGAGAAGAGACTAATGTGCTTCAAATTCAGGGTGGAGGTCCTGCTTGAAACAACAAACCCTGAGCCCTACTCAGGCCCTGAAACTCAGGATTGTGGGATTGTAGTTACTGCTCACCATTTGAATCAATCCCACAAGTTGTGCACTCAAAATGTTGGAAAATTACATTACATTACTGTTTTATTTAGCTGTGTTCCGATCAGATTTTTGGGGCCTGATCACCAATTACCAATCAGCAGTATTGGCCTATACCGATCACCAAAATAAACAATAGGCCAACTGTTCTTAACAACAAATTAATTTGAATATAATAAATGTAAGAGATGTGGAACATTCAAGAATTGACCACGTTTTATTTATTGGCAAGTAACATGTGCAACATTATATTTCCTCTCTCAGAGGTGATTAGGGACAGCTTAGAGCTTAATAAATATAGCATTCCTATAAAATACATAATAATAAAACTTTATGAACAGAAAGTAATCAAGTATAAAACAACACTGCACAGTCTTCAAATGTAAGTTAATCCTACTAAATCTACTATATTTGTTTTCTTTGTCTTTTGTTGTTTGATTAACATTAATGTGACACTGAAACGCCTTTGAAACGCCACTGAAAATTGTCACTGAAACGCCTAACCCTTTTTGGTCTAAAAGCCAGCCGGTAAACGAGACCCACCCATGCCCTAACACACGCACACACAGCACATCTACGGGCCATATCATGGGGCAGGCTGTGGCTGGACTCCTTCAGAGCTTGGCAGGGCTGTGAGCGGGCTGGCCCAGCTGTGATGTGGGGCTCTGTGGGCAGCTGCGGCCACCGAAAGGCCTGCTGCGGTGCTGGTGTGGTTTGCCGACACGCGGATGCTCCCATGTTTCACTGATGCAGTGGAAATGTAAAAGTTAACCCTCAGGGTCTGTGCGGAGGAGTTTAGGAGCCTGCAGAGGGCAGTTGCTATTGATTGGATTCCTGCTAATGTTCATGGACACACTTTCTGTATTGTTTTACCATCTGATTCACTGAAGAATTAGTAACGCTGTAAACACATCCACAAAGTTTATGATGAATGCAATTTGGCCAGCTCAATTCTGGATCTTTCAGCTTAGTTCTGAGGGTAGATTGCTAATCGAGATAATCCGATGATCATTTTTACTGATATTCTTTACTGGTATTTAATAGAGCTGCATGATTCATTAAAAGATTGCAAATCTTGATTCAAACACCCACACGATTCCTAAATGAAAACCATTCGACTGTGTCTATTCAAGCTATACAAAATTATACCGGAACAAAGCAGTCATGTTCATGAAATAGCTTCACAAACGGTCTTTTTAACCACCAAATATTTAATTTCTGTTAAAATTATTCAAATGTTCACAGAATTACTGATAAAAAATTTTATTTCGAATATAGACACTGATGTCTACAGTAGCGATCAAAGTAGACTAACTTGGCATTTCAGATAATGTTGTTCAGTGCTTTTAGTTGTCTGTGCAGGATTGTGCGAGAATCATGATCTCTTTATGAAACACAAAGAAAAGTGTTTTTCAATTTATTCAGAATCATCCAGCTCTAATATTTAAATATTTATTTACAGGGCTTATCATTGTCATATATTTTCTTAAATGCCGATAAGTGTCATCTAGTAGGCCTCTATAGAATAATACTAAAAACAGCATTGCATTTTGTTATAACGGAAGAGTATTGGATAAAAAACAAACATATATTTATAGTATATGTCTGGCTGTAACTCTAATCTATGCTTTGTAGCCAAATCTTTGGAAACACTGAATTAGACTGCAGTCAGTGCATGTAGTAAGTGAATATACACAGCAGTACAGGTTTTTGTGCCAAGATGTTATGCAAAATTAGAAACGTTTAGTGAATTTGCCCCTGCGTGTTCATTCCAGGACAAACAGGCTTGTTGTGCTTCCAGAGTGATTTAGAGAGCATCTTGCATTAAGCTCTAAAAGAATAAATGTTATTTTAGAAAAAGTGAATGACGCTATCCTCTTAGAAAATAAAGCTATCATTCATAAATCAATGTTATCTGTCCTATAGCATGAGTTTAACTAGGCTTCTGTCTCTTTCCTGCTCTTTTTCTGTTGCTCTTACTGACAGGCAGAAAATCTGCAGTGCTCTGTTGAGACTTGACATGTTCCTGAGCTCTCCTAACACAAGGCTTTTCTTCTTCCTTCCATGTTTGTAGTATGTATTTTCCATTCAGTCACGCTCCATCTGTAGCGCTTAGGGTGGTCCTTATTTGTATTCCTAGAGTTAGTAATTTAATGACAATGCCAAATTGTATCTGCCTTTGCAAGCTGAAATCTTTAACTGTTTGAGCATGTTGCAGGATTTCACCTTCACAATACCCAGCAGGTTTTACATTATCCTTCTGTCACTGGTGTTTAAAACTTTTAACGTTTTCAACATGCTCAAGTATGTTTTGGGTTCGTGCTTGGCTGGTATACCAGTTTTAATTTCACGTACGTTATGTATTTTTCAAATAGCGCCATACCAGCGCATATAAATAGGCTGCATTATTCAGTAGCCACATAGAGCGCTATGAAGAACTGCATACCCTTCTTTCTAATAGTTCTAACTTTAAAACACAACAATTAATATTCCACACAACTAACTCAATTTAACATGGAAATACCACTACATGTTGGATTTTCACAATGCAGAAAACATGGATGGAATTACAAATGTCACAAATGGAAATTACTGTATAAAGTGTATCACTGAATTTGTCCATTTTTGGATGAATAAATCAAAGTAAGACTGTACAATGAATCAAATCGCTATGGCTAAAAAGACTGCTGTTGAATTTTAAGTCTGCATGTTCTGTGTGTCTCTATGTGAATAAACACTGACTGCAGTTTCGTCTACTACACATACTGACGCTCACTTCACAAGCATTTCCCCATTTCATTTAATAAAACTATCATATCACAGAAACTCATATTCACGGTTGAATATTCACTGTATTCAACAACCCGTCAAAATAAAAGTTCGGTTTAACTTGAAGAAATTATAACAGAAATACTGTATATTAGGCTACTATAATTGCCCAGTCGGGTTTTCTTCAAGAAATAATGACTACATGACTATATTGCTGACTATATATTACTAGGGATGCATAATATAATTGGAATATCATTGAAATCTTAAAGACTTAAGATCTTCGGCAAGGATTTCTAGCGATAAGATCGCATTAATGTCTTAAAATCACGAGTCTGATTTGATTTAATGGTCAGCACAGTAGCCCACATGACTAACACAAATCACAAACCTTGTAAATTTAAATGATTTTAAACAGTTTATTAATGTATAAAAATTTATTTCAAATGTATGATGAATAATGCCAAAATTAGAAAAATTTCTGCATATCGGCAAAAATCCAATATTGTGCATCTCTATATACCACACAGAAATATCTGATCAAGTAGAAATAGCTCCTTAAAGGAATAGTTCACCTAAAACTGAAAATTCTGTTTTTGCAGAACACAAAATAATTTTGGAGAATTCTGGGAGTCAAAATAACACATGACTGACTCACATATAACACAAAATAACACATGACTTGACATGAAAAAAAACACACCATATTTTCAAAAAGTCTTACTTTGTGTTCCACAGATGAAAAACCTTTCATGTCAACAAGTTTTTATTTTGAGGTTGTGGTTTGTATGTTAAAAGAAAATACACCATGTTACTTGCCATTTCTTTGTAATTGTTTGTTAAATTTACTAGCAATTTGAACAGAAGTTTTTTTTGTAAAAGTTTGAGACTTGTTAATAGTTTTACAATTCAGTTTTTTGACGTACAGTATAAACAAGACACTTCACCTTTAAGGTCCAAAAGGTCAATAATTATGCTTTATTTAAACATAAATGCAGTAGAAGTGGTCCGATGCAGTCACAAATGCACACACTCTTTAAGAGCACACGTTATCAGTCTCATAGGATAGAGTTTCCTCCAGTAACGGCTCCAGTAGGCCTCTGTGTCCGTCCCTGTCTTTGTCACTAGAGTGAGGCCCCTGGCCCCTAATGAGGAAACCTGCTACTCAGGGATAGAGATCACATTCACAGACCCAAACACACATACACATAGTCTTCTCTCTCTCTCGCTCTCATCCTGCTCCCAAGCACCTCAGCCAAAAGACTGAGAGAGTTTGCAGTAAGACGAAAGGCTGCGGGCGTGGAGGAGTGTGTGTTTGTGTGTGTGTGTGTGTCTGTGTGTGTTTGTGTGAGTACAGGAGGAACAGGACTGTCAGTTATACATAATGTATCCAGAGGACCACCGGGACCGCTGCACAAATAGGGGCCCAGGGACACCACCAAGAGAGAAAGAGAGCGAAAGAGTGAGTGATAAGGAATGAGAGGAGAAAGGGGAGTGTTCTGGTGGTACATGGTCCATTGAAAGCAGCCTGAAGGGTAATTGGATAGGGCAGGTAACCTGCGGATCAAAAAAGATAGCGAAGCGATGGAAGGTCATGGCTGCAGGGGGGATAGGGAGGCCCCATTCGATGTGTGAGATTGGGGGTAATCTGATACATAGTGTGGCCAGAGGCCCTCATGCTCGTATAAGCTTTCAAGACTCAAGACAGCCCTTGCAGTGAAATCCAAGATGGTGGAGACTCTCTTCCCCTTGTTTTTCTCTACCTTCAGGGATGGGGATGTGCCTCATTAGCTATTGTAGCATGTTTGTCGGGCTCCGTCAGACCCTGTCTCCACGTCTACTATGTCCGGCCCAGCTTTTGAAGCCGCACATAATGGATTCCTAATCAAGATCTCGGGCCCAGATGAAAAAACCTGCATCTCCTCCAGAACAAAGACAGAAACACACGCACTCAATTCTGGCTGGAATACGTCAGGATAAATAAACAAGAGGACTGAAATGTATAACAAGTAGAATGCCACATAAAAACACATTTATGATCTACAGTACATGCACTGGTTCTCATTTCCTCTCTGTGAATTTGTATTGTGTCGTCACTAAAGGTGGGTGTTTTAAGGTCAGTGTTTTGACCTTTCTCACTGTGGATCTACCATTTGCTTTTCTAGCTGCCCACACATTTCACCTTTCAGCCCAAATGGAGAAAGAGAAAGAGAGAGTGGAAAACACTTTGTGTACTGCCTGCATTTTTGTCATGCTGCTACATGCTATCTCTCCGTCTCCTTGACAGCCTCCTCTCTCTCTCTCTCTCTATGTTCAGAGTTTCAGAGGCTTAGGGAGAAAAGGAGGGACAGAGATAGTTTTATAGAAAATAAGAGAAGAAAAAAGAGAATGAGGGAAAAGTAGGGGATTTCGCTTCATTAAAGTACTTCTCAATCATTTACTCATTCCAAACCCGAATGCTTTATTTTTCTCTTGCAGTTTTTCAGAAAAGGGATGTTCTTCACTTACAGTAAAAGTGAATGGTGACCAGAGGCTGTCAAACTTCAAGATGACAAAAAAGACTATAAAAGTAGCCCAAGCTATTTTTTAAGCTTTTGTTTTAAAGCTTGACAGTCCCTGGGCATCATTAACTTTCATTGTATGGAAACATACCTCTCATTTTTTTAAAAATGCTTTATGAACCTATTTATCAACCCATTTTTTGCTGTATACGTAGCCTGAAGCAACATGATAATGGAGTTTACTACTTAATGTTTGAAAAAGAAGGCTTGACGCCAGTTGTTGACAGACATACAAACAGCACTTTGTTCACTAATCTGACTCAATTCAGATAATTTAGCCATAGAGTGTACCATGAAATTTGAACCCCCTCATTGGATGAAAATTAGATTTCATGATGATCAAGTTTGTAATAGTTTTTTTGGACAATTGGACATTATTAAGGTGGTTGTACTTGATGTGTAACCCACTGCATTATCCATGGCTAACTCACTAAATTATTTTATATGCTGTATGGAGCCACAGCTATAAGGAGGATGATGGGAGATTATGTGTATGAATATGTATATATGAAAAATCTACTTGCAAACATTTATAGCTTTTCAAACTCCTCTCCCATGCAAAAACTTATAAGCCAACAATGTCTTACTTGCATGACAACAGAGGTAAAACACCACAGTGCAGCACTGATGACATCAAATACACTTTGCTTTCTTCAATTATTGTTGCCTGATGCTTGATCTCACTGTCTGATCTGGATTCAGGTCTTATCAGTCGTCACAGACATACAGATCTCTGTTCGAACTTGTAAAGCATGAACATGATCTGTGGGAGGAACCATTCAAAGAAACGTATCAAATTGAAATAATGTATGTTGCCTCCTGGCACACTTTTTGAGTTGTTCTATTTTTAATCGAGTTAAAGGTGTAATTTTACTCTTTCTTTTGTTTTCTAAATGTAGTCAACTTATTATTTCTTTTACATTTACAATAACAATATGCTTAACTAATTTATGCCTTTTTTTACTGTTTATTTTTAGTAAATGGTATTTTTGGATTGCAGAGGGAGCACCTTTAAAACAATCATGATATGACCATGAAATCTCTTGTCTGCACACAGTCAGTTTTAGTTATGTTGTCACGTGAGCGAAATCACAGCACATCTCTTCTCATCCATAAAAAATAGTAAGAAACCAACCATAAAATGTATATCCAGAAAATAAATGCATCCGAATGGGTAAATGTTTGTGTTGTGTTATGTTATTTATTTAACATGTAGAAATAGTACTGCTCAACCACTAACTATGAACGTGTTGTTCTTTTGTTTCCATAGGGACATCAGCATGAACAACATCACTGAGCTGCCTGCTAATGTCTTCAGAAACCTGCCCTATCTGGAAGAACTGTGAGGATGATATCTGTTTTTTCTCTTTCACTATCTTCCTCTTGCTTTGTTTTCTACTTCTTATGTTTTCAAGTACTGTTATGGAAAAAATGATGATATCCTCTATAATGATTTGAAATGATCTTTTGCTCAGCCTTTATTTTTCAGTATGGCCCTATTTAGTGATATTTTGCATATTTTTAGATTTTGAAATGTTTATAGAACTGCTGAAACAACTTTAAAACTAAATACACATGGCATCTATTAAATCTCTGCTGGTTTCAGCGCTCGCTTGTTGGATTAAGGGAGCTCCTTCCATTGTCTTCATTTCTTTTGATAGTCACCACATTGTGTCGCTGACCATTTACATAAATTAAAGTCTGCTCAACTTTGACGGAGCAGTCATTGTTGTATTATATTGCCTCGGGTCGGCAACTATCATTGATCATGTGTGAATTCCAAACTCTGCAGTCACTGTTTATGCACAACTGCTGTTTAGGTGCAGTCACACCAGCAAATTTTCATGGACGAAATCCAATCATACAGATTTTGTATTGTGTTGAAGTTGGTCATGCAAATTCAACACATTGACCAACAGAAAGCTGCTTGGTTTGAAACAAGTGAGCCATGCTACATAGTAATAGACAATTTAGACCTTGAGAGTTTTCTTCAAAAAAAAAAAAATGCAAATACCTACTGCAGAGAATAAGTGGGGAAGAGATTTGACCACCCACAGCACCATCTGCCTGGTTCAGGACATCTGGAACAGTCTCATAGCTTACCTTATTGTTAGTCAGAGCATCTCAGGATTACTAGGGGTGTCGCATGTCACCAAGCTGGCTTTTGAAGCGATGTCTAACTTGTTCATATTGTATTAATGGCATTAAAGGAACAAACACATGCTTGTTTGACTGTTCTGGAGTGTCTGTAGTATCAGTATGTCTGAAAAAAGTTCTGAACTCTCATTGGGTGTCTGATCTTTTTCCGTGTGTTTGTCTTTTCTCTACTCCTTCACTCATCCCGTGTCTGCCCATCTGCGGGAAGGGCAGATAACATCTGTCTAAGTGATATCAGGTACCAGCGCTTCCAGACTGCTGAAATGACCAGCTCTCAAAGTCGGCTCCCCCTTGTTGTTCACTCTTTTCCGCTCTTTTCCTTTTTTTATTCGTTTGATTGGAGTGTGTTTTCTTACCCTTGTGTGTCTTTCATCCACTCCAATCTCCTCGGCTCTCATTCCTAAACAGTCCTCCAGCGCTTTGTCAAAGGCCAATTTGCTTTTCAACGCATTGTGAGAAGGAATGCATGGTAGGAAGAAGGAGGGCAAAACAATGGTTTCCGTGACAACTGGAGTTTTCAGAAGCGTGTGCTATCTGGGAATGGGTTGGGGGGTGCAGGAGGTCTCTGGGACCTGTACAGCACTGTATTGTGCCAGATGCTCTTTGTCAGGTTGCTCATGGTTCAGTGAACAGTGTGGTTAATCAGAGGGTCAGGAGTTCACTTTCTGGGCTTACATTTATCTTTAAACACATCCTAGACTGTTGTAACCACTCAAAAGTGACATTGCAAGATCATCAACTAGCCTATAATATCCATACATTAATATATATATTTTTTATTGTTAAAAACTTGGGCTCAGCATATGACACTGAAGACTAAAAATTCAGCTTTTCCAAATTGTAATAATAGAACTTTTGAGGTAAACCCTGCAAAAAAAAAAATGTACCCACAAATATGGCAATATCTGAAATCCGTGTGCTGACACTTTTTGGTACCCTCGAAGAAAACAGCTTATAAATCATGTTTTTGGAAATTATAAAAATGCGGAAAGTTTTCTGTGATAATGAAGTTATTTTATTTACAACACTGTTGACATAAAAATGAGCGTAAGATTTATGCTGAAAGCGTGAGTGTCACATCTGATGCATGAGATTTAGCCTTCCTTGCCCTTTTCAGTTGAGTCAGTTCAGCGTTGATTCTGTCGGGCATTCTTAAACACAGCAGCATTCTTAAAACTATTGGAAATATGATTGCTCTAAAGGCTATATGTTGTAATTCAAACATGCTTATTCTTAAGGCTATTATTTAGGTTATTTAGCCCAGTCGTTATTTGGAACATGGCTGTGTTTTAGTCTTATATCTGGTGTCATTGTCACATTCTGTGCTAAGCATATCCAGGTATCAGCAAAATGCTTTCGTTGTTTCAGCAACATTGCTATCAGTACTGTACTGGTCGCTAATGCAAATGTTATCAAATATATGCTCATTACTGAGCCTTTATAGTATTAATGAGCATTGTACTAAGCAACATGCTGTGGTAATCAAAGCGTTGTTTTAGCCTTATCTGGTTACATAGAATAAAGAATTCGTTTTTTTTTCAATCCGATTATTGCAACATGCGGTGTTAAAGTTAGCACATGCTTGTGGCAAAAAGTTTATCTAGATTATTGGTAATATATTCTGCAAATTCATACTTGTATAAGGTATGTTCACTGCAGAGGTCTGTCATTCAATACCACAGGCACAGACGGTAAAAGAAATGGACACAGCAACCCCATTGATTTCAACAGAGAAAATTGAAGCCCATTAAAAGCTGATAGCCAGCGTATTGCGTAAGCAACCTGTACGTCTTGAAATCTGTGCCGAGTTAAATCTGAATAATTCCCTTCTAATCTCACAGAGATAGAGAGAGTGAGTATTACTGTAGCTGTCCATGAGCTAGCAAGATCAACTTTATTACTCTCTTTGGGCTTCTCCTTTGACTTTAAGGAGAAGCCTGCACACTTCTCCTCCTGTCTATAATTTCTCTACTGTGCGACGGAGAGTTGATTCGTTATGACGCAATCACTAGCCTATTTTTACAAAAACTGATTCTACAGGGCCATAACGTAAGATACAAGGTAATGGAGCCCTTTATACATTGTCGTGTTTCTTTAAAAAAAAAATGGACAAATGGAGTCTTTGGAAGCCTCAGATGTAAAGTTCTTCACTGTCAAAGTGACGCCAAAATGAATTGGAGTCAATGGAATGCCAGCAGCAGGTGATAGTCCGCTACAATGGCGGCTCCCTGGAGCCTTCAGTTTCCGGGAGATGGATTACCCTCTTGTTCAATACCAACAACATTGTAGCTTGATGATCCTGTGAACGAGCGTGGAATCATGGGAGTCTTCATCTTCAACTCCACAACCAATGGAATTCAGTACGACAGGAGCAGAAATAATTTTCATGAATAAGGAAGCAGAAGCACACTGTACTTCATTGCTTAGCTGCCCACTGCATATGACTCAGAGCTACAGTATGCTTCCCCGACTGAACTACACTAGTTTTAATACTAGTCCTATGGTTATATAACATGCTTGTTGTATCAGATTTTGCTACTACTAGTCAGAGTTAGTGTCACTGGGTGAAGTCATATAGTCAGGTGCAATATTCATGTGATTTTGGTTGTGTTTTATGCCTGTTGCCGAACTAGCTTCTCAGGTTGTCTTTCTTTGAGAAATTTAACTAGAGCTTAGACAATACCAGATTTTTGCAGCACTGGATCCTGGTTGCTAGTGGCAGATATGGAAGTAAAACAATGCCAAATGTTTTTGAAACAAAAAGCCTGTTGAATGGATTGTATTTTTAGGGTTTGCATTTTTATGAGCTGAAATTTAGCATGGTTTAATATTTAAGCTGTGAATATTTAAATTCAAAACATTTCAAACTCATGTTCATTAGTAAAAATGCCCTCCCCCTGCTGGTGAGGTTGACTAACAGCAGATGGAGATTGTGCTCGGTAATCTACCGCGTTCCCTGCAATTCCTGGATGTCAACGTTGAATTTACTGTCGAATTTGTGAATTTGAAGTGAATTGAATTTGGGAAGCGAAATAAAATGGACCGAAAACCGCTTGCTGAATATTATAGGTTGGATTTTTAATCAGTTTGAATATTTTGGAAGTAAAATATGAAAGGTGAATATGGATTATTGAAATTTTACTAATGAAAATGTGTTTGAAATGTTTCGAATTTAAATATTCAAATATTCAACCGTGCTAAATTTCAGCCCATTGAAATGCAAACCCTAAAAATACAATGCATTAAAATACAAGCAGGGTTAATGCTATGCATAGTTTTTTCAAGTTGTACAATTCAACAGGCTTTTTGTTTCAAGGACATTTGGCATTATTTTACTTCCATAGGCAGACCTCTTATTCTACATTATGTAACTAAGGCTCTTTGGCCAAGAAAATTGGAGAATGTTTTGTTATGCTAACATTTAGTCTAACTAAAAGTAGTAGCCATAGGGCTCAGTTAGTTCTAGTAAATTCCAAGAGATTTGTTGTTCAGGTTTTGTTGGCAGTCTCAGGGGCAAAGCCTTATAAGCTTTGGAAGTCCAGTGGTAAGGCCTTTTTCAAAAGAGTATGGCACAGTGACTATCTAAAAGGGGAGAAAGTTAGTGCAAAGTCTGCAATCAGTTCTGAATAAAAAATAGGGGGTTTTAGACAATAAAAATGAACCATTAAAGCTCTTGACCTGCAAAAAAAAAAAAAAAAAAAAAAAAAACACCATTCAGACTCTGTGGTTTTTAAATGATGTCATTTAGAGCAAACTGTATCCAGCCTCACTGGACATGTCCTAAACAATGCCGTAGGAAAATTTGACAATGCCATATTGGATATATTGCATTGTACTGCCTTATTAATTCAATTGCAATTTGTTTTATATAGGCACTTCTGTCTTGGAAATGTTGGCTGAACACATCACATGGTCACATGATATTTCCCATGCTTACTGAAGTGGTTACTAAAGCAGCAACACTCCAGAGTAGCTCTGGCAACACACTGACCACAGAATGAGACATAGATTAGTTCCAGACAAATAAAGATCAGGGGTGACATCTCCCTGCTCAATGCATCGGACTGCTGAGTAGTGACATTGAGTGTGTGCATAAGGAATCCACCCATGGAAGCCTGGCCAGATCTAGTGGTTTTGAGAGAGAGCCAAACCAGAACGATATAGAGATAAATACATGGAGGGAAAGAACGCTTCTTTTTCCCGCAAGCTAACCCAACCACATTGGTGTGCCACAACAAATGTGTTGATGTAAACAAGAACGTAGTTGGACTGCAGTTGATTGTTTAATTTGGGGTTTGTGTCGTGGTTGGTGAAAGAGAGATTTTCTGTCAATTTCTGGGTGATGGTTCATCATTTTAACATTTTGGTATCCCAGCAGTCTTTTCCATCTCTCTCTGGGCCAGATGTACTGATGCTTTTGTGCCCACCTCAGGCGTATTTGTTTCACAAAGTGTACATAAGAACATGGCGAGGTATGGCGGGAAGCACCAAAATGATAGCGCAGACTGCCTGTCGCAAGAACTGAAAATGGCAAAATGCGCTTTTCGTGTCATGCATATCCATTCATGGGATGGTCATGGGCAAAGTGGGCGTGTCACATAAAGAGATGGGAGGGGAAGCGTAAACTGCGCCTAATTATGTATTCCGCGTTATGTACAGAAAAAGTCGGTGAAAGCGTGCCTCTATTTTGCGGTGAAAATTCTCTGCCTTTTAAAAGCAGGTTTAATTTAGGAAGCGTTTTTCCTGGCAAATGCCTCCTGGTGAAATGGCAGCAGTAATCCAAGCAAGACGAAGACATAGGCTAAGGAGATGAGCTGAAAAGATTTTTGCCACAAGAATCACACTTTTTCAGTTGAGTGAAAACGAAATCATTAAGCGTTACAGATTAAGCAGCTACGCAATATTACAGTTACTGGAAGAAATCTAAGATGACATTGAATCTCCGACTCTGCGTTCACATCACATTCACATTAAACTCCTCGCTACATTACAATTATTGGCATCAGGATAATTTCAGTCTTACAGTCATACCATCAGCAGTGAGAGGAGGCTCATTTAAATGCGTGCAATTTACGGTATAGTGGGTGGGGACAGGCGCGGATCACCTGATGTACTGCAGGTTTGGTACATAACACTGCATTCACTGCGTTTCACATCAAGTGCTTTCTGCATCTTTGCCATGGTGCTATTAACGCTGCGTTCGAAAATGTATGTACATTTGGCCCTCTCCTTCCATCTCCCTGTGTGTGGCAATGTTTCAACACTTAGAAGCTGAACCCCTATGATCCTGCAGACAGATAAGCCACCTCAGTCATGTCCTCACCGTCGTAATTGCAGCTGTATTATCCATTGTCTCTTGTTGTTTTTCCTCTGTCTTTCCTCTATGTCTCTCTGTCTACAGGTTTGCTGGTAAATAATGGAGGGACTGTAATAATTACCCACACAGTTATACATATATTTGGTATTATATGGTGAATGTAAGGGTGTGGTAGTGAAAGGACAGTAAAAAGAGGAACATGTTTACCTTTAAAGGTGCATCATCACCTTTTTTTACAAAGACCTCCATTCATCTCAGCAGCATTTGACCTCATGGAATTACATGATTTAAAAATCTATTATGGGATTTTTCTTTTGCTATTTGAGCAAATGGGAAAACAAAACATAGACTTAATGTTTTCTCTCAATACTCTCAAGTTTACCCAACTATGACGTAAAACACGAAAATGTGAAAAGGGTCAATTCAAAAATGGTCACTCCAAAAATGTTCACTGGCAAAGCATCTACTTTAATATTATGATAGTTATAATTTACTTTACATTTTGCTTGCAAAATGATGTAGTTTCCAACCATAACAAAGGCATGCTGTCAAGCTGATGGATCTAATAATGTTTTTGGATGAGTGCAAAGGTGTTTTTTAACATTACAGTCAGGTATGAAGCAGGTCGAGATTGCTAAAAAGACAGATATCACACGCGAGTCCCGCAGACATAAAGGAATAAGGACATTTAATTCTACCGAACTACCCGCAAGTGCTGGATTACTCACACAGGTCAGTTTATTAGATGAATTAAATTTGTGAGGTAACACAGCGCTGCTTCACTTGGTCTAACGCAGGGTCTAACGCGTCTGTCGTTGCTATGCAACCATGCACTGCTTCTCCACAACGTAGCTCTGCTACAAGATTTATTTACGGAGAAGCGAAAAACACCGTAGTGTTTGGGTGCACCCCCATCCTTCATGTTGACTGAGCTTTCAATGTTGTTACGGAAAGGGTGAAGCTGATTGGTTGTTTCTTGTCACATGACCTGCGGTGCGCTTGCGGCATTCTGAAAATTAGCTATTTTTTCATCTCGCTGCGCCTGGGGAAAATGTGCACGTCGCTTCAATTCGCTTGCCGCGCGCCTACATTTGAAATAACAAACTTGGTGAGCTACCTCCAATCAGGCCACGAGCTACTGGTAGCTCGCGAGCCACGTGTTGGAGACCCCTGTTCTGATGTTACACTATCACACTAAATGGCATTTAAATGTGTTTGTTAGTTCGTTACTAGTTCTTTAGTTCGTTACTATAGTTTGTTTACTACACGAAACTAGCAGTAAGCTATATCAACATTAACATACTCTAACATTTCATCATATTGAGCTAATGTTATAACATTGATTTGTTTTATTTACATTTGCTCACCTATCTAATAAAGCTGTCAAGTCGTGACTCGTAAAGCTCTGTAAAGTCCAAGTTCGTCGAGGACTTGGAGCTCTCAGCATCTCAAAAACGCAACGTTGATATTGAGCCTCATTTTAGTTCTCCTTGTTTGTCCCAAAGTCTGCTTGCCATGGTCTATGTTTGAAAGAAACAAGAACTGTGTGCCGCTAAACTTTACGCACTACGCAATTGTCCATGTCTGCCGCCATGGTTACGCCATGGCTATGGCAGTATGAACGGAAACCGAGGATAGCACGGATATTGCGCCTTACATAGGCGGAAATGACAGGCGAAATTTTTTGCCGGCATGGCCACTTATTTAAAATTGGAATTTCTCTAAGATAAAAAAAATCTTTGGAGACTTTTGGCATATTGTGAGTACACAACTGCAGGAAATATATCACACTGTGCAAGTGATTTTTGGATATTTTATTATAAAATTCTTACATAATGTATCTTTAAATTTGTCAGTGCTGAAAGATGCTTTTGTGGAGATCTTCGAATACACTTTCCTGCAGAGTTTCGAATGAAAAAGGAAAATTCTGTCAATTTACTCAGCCTTAAGTTGTTACTTCTCTGTTGTTGTTAATCCAAACTTCTCTGAATTTCTGTCTTCTGCTGAACACAAAAGATGGTATTTTGAAGAATGTCAGTTACCAAACAGTTGATGGCCCCCAATTGACTTACATAGTCTGTTTTCCTCCATACTATAAAAGTCAATGGGTAAACTATATTTTAGATAAGGGCTGCAAGATATAGGAAGTGCGATAACAATAGGGAACGTAGTTGGTCCAAGATCTGTACGGACCAGGCCCCATGGTTCGTAATGCATGTGATTTGCCATTAATTGCAGTCTTTAACCATGATAAAGTGAATTGTATCCGTGCATTTGGTCTCAGTGAAAGTATCCTGATAAACATGCAGCTGTCTGTATTATTAATGTTAATCAAACAGCGATAGACAAAGAAAATCATCTGATGAAATTGTTTTCATGTTACATATACATTGCAGAAAACTAAATTTCGCAATGCCAATATCGTACAGCCCTGTTTTAAATGCAATTTACTTCAGACATGCATCTAAGGGCCACCAAGGGCCAGTTAACTCGTCCTGATGCTGTAAACGATTGGGGCAAATCGAAAGCTTTCTATTCTTTCTGAAACGCTGTGGCCTATTTCTGCTCCTGAGAGAGAGAAAGAGAGACATGATAAGAGAGTTAAAAGTGTGTGAGAGTTTTCTGACTCTAGTTTCAGTGAGTGATAAATCTGGTGTTAATCTCTCAGGCCTGATTTGGTGAAGTTATGTGTTCCCTTTGCCCACCTTACCACTCACATTGACAAACCGTGTGTTGTACAGCGTAACCTGTGTACATGCCTTCACACACCATGTAATTCAGACTCAAGATGTCCATTTGAGTATCTCGGAATAGAATGTGTCTGAGTGCGTGTTGTCCAGCCCAAAACATAACTGTACAATCAGAACATCACATCACATTCATTCCAGACATCACATTCTGACACGTCTTAGGTATTTGTGCTGCCCAATCAGACAGAAAGTCTGTAGAGGCTTTTGCCAACAGAGAACAAGTTAGCACTTCAGGAGAGAGCAGTGCTTATCACACACACTACTTTCAGCACCGCAGATATCGGCTGCTGTATATAATGTACTCCCGCACTAAGCCCTGTAGCCCATTTATGGTTGCCAAGTGACATAGCAGTTGACCCTTTGCTAAGCAACCCACTCAGTTACTGTTGCTAATCTAGACAAACTTTACAGAATATCCCATCGGCATAAACTGGAGATTTCTGTAAACACGATTTTTTTGTAAAATGTGCTCAGAAAGTGGGAAGAAATAATTTTGCTACAATTCGTATTAGTAGTAAAGTAAAATTATGCAATAACATGACAATGATGTAAAGTATGTGTGTGAACTAAGTCTCTTACGCTGCATTTATTTGAATGCAATACAGTAGTTTTGCAAAACAGTAATATTGTTAAATATTATTACAAGTAAAAAATGTTTCTATTTGCCATTACTCACTGTTCCCTTTCAGTCACTCACATTCGACGTGACAACGTTAGGGGATCACTTCAGGGAGCCCTATCAACTGTGTCTATTAAAAAAATGCAGAATATATAGTCGCAAGTGCTATCAGCATTTTACAATGGCTCATCCAGCCTACTTTAGAGTAGCTCTTCCTTTTTTAATCACTCTTTCTGTGTTTCTTCCCACTCACAACCTTGCATTCGCTCCCTTTTACACCCCTGCTCCGGCTTTCCATCAGAATGTCTTTTTTTAACAGTCTTGCTGAAATAAAATATGTTTCTCTCTCCATAGACGTTTGGCTGGTAATGACCTTGCTTTCATCCACCCAGAGGCTCTGTCTGGCCTCCATCAGCTTAAAGTCCTGTAAGTATTACACACTCTCTCACACACACACACACACACACGCACACACACACACCTCTATTTGATACAGGCTTACTCATTCAACCAGAGAGACGATCTTGAATAGCGCAGTGAGGGAGCAGTAGATCCTGCTGTGTGTTTTGTTGAGTTGTTAAGTGGTGTTGTGTAACTAACAGGAATTTCACTGCTACTGGATCAGCAAGTCTGTCAGTGTCTGATGGAGTACCTTCGTTCATTGTGACCCCCCCTCTCTTTTTTTTCTAACTCATATTTTGTCCTTCAGGTGTTTGTGAGCCAATTCAAATGCAGCTTATCAGCTGCTTGGTCCCCTCAGCCATGCTTTACATAAAGCTAATTTTTCCTCTTCCTGTCCTCATCCAGGGCTGTTTCAAAGCCTCACAGTGCTGTTACAGGCTCATCTAGACACTGTTGTGGGAAGTTCGGAAAGAGTTAGGAAAACCTATTGTGAAGGACCTAAAGCCAAGGACTTTGGAACTGTAGATGTTGGAGATGATTTGAGAGCAGTTTTATTTACTGTAGTCATGCATTTATGAATGCCTCTTGGCTGGGCTACGTGTATGTGACTACAGTGTATACTGTATGTGTGTAGTTGTGTGTGCTCTGGCTTGCCAAATGGGAAAAGCTGTCCTCGCGGCCTATGCCATTTGAGTGACGCCAGAGAGCAGATAGTGTAGAGGAAGCAAGATATGCACTGTGATTAGTTCAGAACAAGACACACACACACTAATACATACTACATCAGCACTAGAGCTCAGATTGTGGTTATCTGGGCTCATGATTTGTGAAGAAATGTTGTAGAGAAGTGTAAATGTATAGTGTTGTGATGTGATATCAGACATGTGTCAAAAAGGGTGAACACAGTAAATAATAATGGTGTTTTAAAAACTATTTTTCAGGATGCTTCAGAACAATCAGTTGAAGACTGTCCCCAGTGCAGCTCTCAAGAATCTCCATGCCCTGCAGTCTTTGTAAGCATCTCTCTCTCTTTCTCTCTCTCTCTCTCTCTCTCTCTCTCTCTCTCTCTCTCTCTGAGATTCAAGATACAAAGAGCTTTATTGGCATGGTGAAAGAAGTCTTTACATTGCCAAAGCATTCATAACACTATACAATACATACAAATAAATAAATAATTATATATATATATATATATATTAGTGCTGTCAAACGATTAAAATATTTAATCGTGATTAATCGCATTAATGTCATAGTTAACTCGCAATTAATCGCACATTTTATCTATTCTAAATGTCTTTTGATTTCTTTTTGTTACATTATTTTTTCTCATTTTAATGCTCTTATCAACATGGGAAAGTGGATTGGCTTGTTTAGTGCAAATGTTTTTTTTAATTATTATTATTGAAAATAACATTGGAATAGTGTTCAATTTCACACTAACATACAAATAATCTCTCACACAATGTAACACTGTCTATCAATAAAAGGGTGAAAGAAATACTGACGAGGTCCTGATATTGGCGAGGGGGTGGAGAATTCGCATCGTCTGTGTGTGTGTGTGTGTGTGTGTGTGTGTTTGCTTGGCCATCATCAAGAGGTGTTTCGGACGTGCTGCGATGATGATAGCTCAGTTCACAACGACAAAACACACAGATCACTTGGTCTTGTTAATGGGACAATTTGGCAACTTTTTAAAAGTAAACTTTCCATTCAGTATCTTAGGGCATCCATTTCGGCGTCTCGCGCTCGTCATCCACTCAAAACGTTACCTCGTAAGCCGAAACGAGTGTGTGCGGAACAAAACGTCCTCGCGCTGCGATCTGAAACCCATTCATTTCAATGGCTTGCGCTGCGCGAGCACGTTTTGTTGCTTCTTCGACCAAAGCACAAGCGGATCTAGCTAGACCGTAAACAAAACAACAGGCACGCCACAAACACAAGTTTCGGCTTGCGAGCCGGCTTTGAGTGGATGACGAGCGCGAGACGCCGAAATGGATCAGGACACATGCCGTCCTTTTGCAAAAGCATGTGAAAAAACTGCTAGGACAAAAAGACTGTTAATCGCGCGATAAAAAAAATTAACGCCGTTAAAATGGGTTTGTTTTTAAAATGAATTTTTTTTATTGTTAAACTATATTTCTGTTTTACTGTGTTTTTTATCAAATAAAGGCAGCCTTGGTGAGCATAAGAGACTTTTTTTTTTTTAAAAAACATTAATATATCTTATGACCCCAAACGTTTGAACAGTACTTTACTTGTGATGCTGAAAGGCTTCTTACAACGGTAGTATAAAATAGTGATGCACAATACAGATTTTGTGAGCCGATTCCAAAATCGAATTACTCAGAACATCATCTGTAAATACAGATAGTTTGGTGTTATTTTTTTTTTCTTCTGATTCCTTGTTGTTTTAAAACACTAACAATTAACAAACTTTGAAGGAAAATTTCTGGATAATTTGTAAATATTCTTAATACAATTTGTTATCAATATATTTATCCGTGTCTTCAAACAGGTTCCAATTCTAAGGAGAAAACACTAAAACAAAAAGCAACCCATTTAATATTAAGTTTGGTGTTATTGCATTATTGTTGAATAGCAGGTTAGATAATTACGATGATCACTTTTATTTGCAGATACAGCCGATTTACACTTGTTTAAAAATAGTTAGTCCATTTCATTTTGTCAATTGCCAGTATAATGCTTCGATAAAAATGATTTAATACATTTAATTCTAATGGAAGTAATAAGTAGGGGTTCATCAAGAAATGTTTGCATGGCAAGGTCTCAGATGCATTGGAGTTCATGTAACTGTGCGTTGTGTTTGTTCCTAAAGTTGTCTCAATAAGATTTAGTCCAGCTGCTGTTTCTGCTGTGGGACAATGTGTTTAAAGGATTAGTTCACTTTTGAAAAAACTTTTGCTGATAATTTACTCACCCCCATGTCATCCAAGATGTCCATGTCTTTCTTTCCTCAGTCGAAAAGAAATTTAGGTTTTTGATGAAAACATTCCAGGATTTTTCTCCATATAATGGACTTCAATGGGAACCGGATGGTTCAGGTCCAAAAGATAGTGTTAATAACAGTTTCAGATGCAGCTTCAAATGTCTTTAAACGACACCAGACAATGAATAAGGGTCTTATCATGCGAAACGATCAGTTATTTCAATGCTTATTCCAAAAATGTAACTTTTCTAAGGACAAATGCTAGCCTTTCTCCATTCTGTGAGGCGCGTTTGCAACGTCACGTAGTACGTAATTACGTTCAAAAGGTCACGGGCGACGTAGCCAGAAGTACAGAGTCAGAGTGTTTACAAGTTGAACGCATAGGTTGAACGTGAAAACTAACTCAAACGCCGTTTACAAAAAAGGAATTAAAAGGAAAAACAACGATGTCGGACGATTTTGATTCTGTACTTCCGGCTACGTCGCCCGTGACCTTTTGAACGTAATTACGTATTACGTGACGTTACAAACGCGCCTCACAGAATAGAGCTAGGCTAGCATTTGTCATTAGAAACGTTACATTTTTGGAATAAGCTTTGAAATAACCGATCGTTTCGCATGATAAGACCCTTATTCATCGTCTGATATCGTTTAAAGACATTTGAAGCTGCATCTGAAACAGTTATTAACTGTCTTTTGGACCTTGAACCATCCGGTTCCCATTGAAGTCCATTATATGGAGAAAAATCCTGGAATGTTTTCATCAAAAACCTAAATTTCTTTTCGACTGAGGAAAGAAAGACATGGACATCTTGGATGACATGGGGGTGAGTAAATTATCAGCAAAAGTTTTTTCAAAAGTGAACTAATCCTTTAAAAAATCAGGTTTTATACCATTATCACCTCTCCAGATTTCTCAGTCTCTTTCTGTCTTACCCCCTTGTGTCGTGTGTTTTTCCTCTATTTTTCCCTGTAGTGCTGAAGTAATATGTTTTGGCACAGTCCACCTGCTTTTGGATAAGGCCTCAGAGAATGACCTGTCAATCAATGTGCCTTCTGGCCCTCAGCATGGTTGATGAGGGAAAGAGTAGGATATATGTCAGAGCAGATGCCAAAAACGAGTGAGAGGGAAGGGGGCAGACCTTTGGGAACGTGTTCTCCCTGCAGGCTTTCTGCACAGGTTCTTCAACTGTGCTAATCAGGCTACCCAAAAAAAAAAAAAAAAAAACACTTCTAAATTACAGTGACATTGCTGTGAGAAGCAAGGCAGAGACAAAGCCTGTACAAAAAAACTGAAAAAAAAAAAATGTAACTTCAAATTTATTTATTTATTTATTTTTGATAGCCTTGTTTGATAGCCTCTTGGTGAATTATTTTTGTTCGGTTGCTATTGATGTACTGAAATTAAAATTATTGGCCTAAACTACATTTTCTGGCTGAAAGTTAATCCTAATTTTAAAATAGCCTTTCTTTCAAAAATCTGATCTTTATTAAAGGAGCCGTATGTAAGATTGTGGCCAAAATTAGTACTGCAATCACTTTCAAATTACTGTAGGGTGGTGTATCCCTTCCCCCTCCCCCCTGACTCGAGGTTGCCAGATAGCCCGCAGGATCCAACATTTGTTTTATCCGACACGTTTGTAGCTGCAGAGCTGGCAACCCGAATGCTGCAACACTACTGACTTCGTGATTGGCAGATCGGTGAAGGTTGGAGCATCAGACCAAAACACAACATGACCGTTGAGGGCTGCAATTTCACTTTTTAAATGACAATATGCTGGCCGGACTACTGTTGACAGTAATATAAGTATTTGAAATGAACATGGTTTCTTAATGTCTAGTGAAATATCAGGGCCCTTTTATGATTATTTGAAATAAATTTCTTACATACAGCGCCTTTAATTTTATACAAAAAAAGTGATTATTCACAAAATTTATATAATGTATTGTCATTAAAATGTTTAGGGTCAGTAAACAACTTAACACAACTTTTTTTCTCTCAATATCATATTATTAACAGGCGGTGTTTACATTAAATCTGGATCATTTCAAGTGTACACTGATTTTTTCATCCATGTCAATCATTCTGTTATCGAATGGTAAAGTAATGTTAAAGTTTCCATTTCCTTCTTTCTTTAAAATTGAATTTTAAATCATTTCAGGTGGCTATTTTTTTGCATCCCTAGTTAGAACAGTTGATGCTCTGGATATACTCTAGAAATACAACTCCGACTGTTTCCAAAACCACAATTATAATCTTAAGTCCATCTATAATTTAAAGTGGCCGTCTATACCACATTTAGCAGCGATCCGGTAAAGATTGCTGCCTTCTAACCTCAAGTCGATTCTGTGGTTTGCCAGTTAACAGACCAGAGAGCAATTCATTATCAGAAACTATTATCCTTCAGTCTCCTTGAGCAGTAAAGCTGTGATCTGTGGTGTGTTTTAGAAATAACTTATAAAGTAATAAATCTTAACAAACGCTGAGATGCTAATGTGTTATATTACAAGGGCTCTTGTGGCCAAATGTTTCCGTGTAGATATACATCTTAAATGAATATTCTCTCTGTCTCTTTGTCATCTATCTATGCCACCCAACCCTTTTGACTCTCTGTGAATCTCATACTATGTGTTTATCTGTGTGTGTGCACCGGTTTGGCAGTGCCTGATCTGGACATGCCCAGATCTGCATGTTCAAAATAAGAAGCATGTACAGACTTTAGCTGCAGCTGACAGATCCATATCTCCTTAGATAAGAGCCAACTCTCAACTCCTGAATATTGATTTGGTTCAATTCACAAATTATCCATCCGTTTTTAGAATGAATCTTAAGGGACTTTAATGCCAAATTGAGTCTTTCATGAATTGATTTCAGTTAACTTCTCACTCACCGGTGAGCTTCATGTCTGTGTAGAGCGGAGAATTGAACATTCTTAAACGTGCCAAAGCCAAAATTGAGCCAGAGTTCATATCCAAAGCACACGTCAGTTTAGATGATCTCTCACTGTAGTTCACAAATGCTCGCAGTGCTGAAAATTTGTCCTAATGCATTGAACTCAGATAAAAAGGGGAAAAGTACATGCATGGAAACTTGCTATTGCTTCATTAGTAGAACATGTGCCATCTTTAGTCCTCCTTTCCCAGAATGGCCTTAGAGAACACAAAAAGTTTATTTAACAAACAAAACTAAGCTTAAAGTACACTGTACACACTACTCCAGGAAGAAATATTGTGAACAATTATGAGCTGTGTTTATATTTTCATTTGGTAGATCCAAAAATATATTTCCATTACACAGAGGCATTTATTAGCTCCACAACAATTGTTTAACTGTGTGTTTCTGTTCCCAAATAATAAGATAATCTTTATTCAGGACACACAAGATGGTCCATAGCCCTATACATATACCATAATATTACAAAGTGCATTAAAAAGAAAAAGAAGAAAGAGAGAGAGAGAAAAAAAAGGAAGAAAAAAGAACAGAGTTCTATAAAATGACTACATAGTCAGTATTCTGCAATACATACAAAAAAGTGTTCAAATGTTAACATACAAACTAAAACGCCAATGATTCCACAAACCAGAAGTGAACCTAACAGCACTCAATGCCGGATTCACTAGTGTTTTGATGATGCTGTTATGTGACTCTGCTAGTCTACACATACATTTGTACATGAGATTCCTGAGTACAGCAGGACATGTGGATACGTTAACACTTACACAATAAGCTGACTATGCAGAATTTTAAGGCATCATGCATGTTCCTGATGGGACCTGTAAGTTTTGCATGGAATGCAATGGAGTCAAGTCAGTGAAAAATAAGTCTATCCAAGATGGCGGACACAGCACTTTAAATTTAATAATGAATAATGAATTTAATACTGAAAAGTGGCAATAGGATTAGCTCAGTCTAATTTAAAATAGACATTTTTTACTCAATAAAAAAAGGATTTCTATGTAATTTTTTTTTTATTTTCAAATGGATAGTTTACCAAAAAATGAAAATAATTTACTCACTGTCATGTCACTTTAAACCCATAAGACTTTGGTTAATCTTTGTAACCACAAACCTGAGAGGTTTCGGTCCATTGATCTGCAGAAATCTGACTTTTTGACACAAGGGGTATATTTCCCCTTTTAATTTCACAATTTTCTCATCTTCTATTGTTTTATTTAGTGTTATTAAACTTAACAGCCTGATAAATGTATGTGCTTTATTTTTTGCATGATAATAAAGTTGTAATATATTCCAAATAAGTCATTTATTCCAAAATCATTGGGCACATAAGCAAGCAATCCGACTTGCGACGTCATTATATTTGACGGACATGGATACGGTCCTGCCTTTGAAAAGCACTAGGGGTGGTTTAGTAATCATCGTGGTGAGGACAGTTTAGTCATTTATGAGGTTCTATTTGAGTTAGAAAATCTAGGTAGGCAGTTCAGCAAGGTCTGGTAACTGAGTGAGTGAGTGAGTGAGTGTGGGTTTCCACATTTTTGTGCTTTGTCCTGTTTCAGTGGCAAGGTTATAAGGCTTTTTTCTTGTTCTAACTAAGATCTCTCCACCTACACATTCCCTAGTCTTTTGTGTTTTAATTGTATAATCACAGGGCAGGGAGAGTATAGCTTAGTCAGTGTCAGCCATTTATAAACAGGAAGTCACCACCCCACTGTTATTACCCATCAACTCATTCCTCCTAGTGATTGGCTCCGATTCCAATTCTCAGTGCCCTAACTTAGAAAATAGAAATAGAAAATTCTCCACATGACTTGTGCGCTATATTCATAGTCTTCTGAAGTCATATGCAACACACACTAGTTGATAAGTGTATATACATACCGAGTCAGATCTTTTAAGCATCTACACAGTATTTGACACAGCACTGTTTATTTCAGTCACAAGCCCTCCGGGCTGAAAGGTGCGGTTCCTTTTTCTCATAAAGCCATTGAAGCGGCCCCTGAGTGAGGCCAGGGCTCCCACCTGGGCTGTGTGAAAAGGAAGGCCAGTGTAGTGAGATCATGGAAACGTCTTGTGTTTCTTTAACAGCACAGTGTGCAGAGACTGAGTGTTAACTGATGCTTTAGCACCTATGTGACGGCACACTGTTATTCCCAATATGCGCGCCCTCCTGGTGCTGTATTTGTAGAAGTGGCTGTTTCGATAAGTAAAAGCGGTTTCAGCTCATTTATGCTGCATCCACATCAGGGTTCCTGACATCTCTTCCTATTTCTGTGCAGGCGGTTGGATGCTAACCACATCACTTCAGTGCGTGAGGATAGTTTTGAGGGCCTGCAGCAGCTCAGGCACCTCTGGTTGGATGACAACAGCCTGACTGAGGTTCCCATTGGCCCCCTACAGCACCAGAGTAACCTGCAGGCCCTGACGTTGGCGCTTAACCGGATCACACACATCCCAGACAACGCCTTCGCCAACCTCTCCAGCCTGGTTGTATTGTGAGTTCTGTGCAATTTCGCCCACATACACTAGAGGAATTCATCCTGCTTTTAACACTGATAAATTTACCTTCCCCTGTTGCTTTTTACCACACATCAGTTAAATCCATCAATGCGCTACACTAACTGTAGTCCTAGACGGCTCGTAAAACACTCGTACAAATACACTTGCACATGGTTAAGTACACATGCAGGTAAACAGCAGCATGGATGGGCGAATTTAGAGAGGGAAAGCAAAATGGACCCTTGTGCCTTGCAAAGTCAAACAGAGGCTATAGACACTCTCTCTCTCTCTCTCTCTCTCTCTCTCTGCATCACTTCTGGAAGCTTCTCTGTGGGTCTGATTTTCCAATTACATTCCAGCTGCTGGAAAATATTTATCTTAGGAGTGGAGGCCAATTAATCCGTTAAGTAGACTGAACAAACACACAGACCTGTGTGGTGAAGTGCTCTGAAGAACTACTGAGGGGTTATCCGTTCAGAAAAAAATGTTTGTGTTAATGTTCTGCTGAGAAGTGCATCTTTTTAATGACTGGAAAATTCAAGCAAAATAGACATTCTTAGTCATTCCCATCTAATTTGTTATAAATGGATCCATTAATACCTCTCAGGTTATATTTACTATAATCGATTGTCCCTCTTTAGTGCATATAGTCATTTTATCACACATAACTCATTTTGAACTAACCAAACAAAATGTGGAACCAAATTGTAAAATCATAAATGCATAAGATTCTTTTTTTTTTTAATGAAGGATCAAAAAGAAAATTTACACCTTAAAATTAGTGATGAGTGTTATATTGGGTGCCTTCTTGATAATCAATTATATTAGTGTTTGGTTTAAAAAAGGTAATTTTGCTTATTTTTATATTAAGGTCACCTGCCATCTTTATTGCTCACAAAGTTAATCTTTAAAAACATTAACGCTGTTAAATGTAGTAATTAGCAACATTCAAAGTGAACAAAAAGTGAATGTTTGCCTAAATTCACTTTTAACAATTACAATAATTTTATTTTTAATTCATTTACACAAAATATAACACTTTTATTGCTGACATTTATCATCATACCATCAAAATAACTATCAGCCTATTGGCATCATCTAAAAACCCATTTTAAAATGATTGCATGTAAATTAATATACAAGTGTTGCTTCTAAAATCTTGTTTGTCCGTGTCGTTCAGGCATCTACACAATAATCGGATTCAGGAGATTGGAAAAAACTGCTTTAATGGGCTCGACAACCTGGAGACATTGTGAGTTCCCCTTCACTTACACATGTAATCACACTTCCTGTCATTAAAGAGATTGTAATCTGCTAGAGTGGGTCTGTCATCAATAGCATCATACTACATATTTTGTAGATTGTATGTGGGTACAAGTGTATTTACTCAGTGTGGTGTTTAGTATATGTATCTGCTGCCCTCTTCTGCAAGACTCATGGTTGCAGAGAATGTTGGGAGCTCTCTGAAAGGATGCCTCAGCTGACATTTATTTGAATACCAGTATGCAGTGTAGTAGAGAACACACTAGACATGAAGTACTTTACTGGTATGTGAGCAGAGACAAAGGTTGAGTAATCCATTTAACCGAGATCCCTAACCTTAAGTCTAAAACGTTACATAATGTTTTAATTTTGAATGAAAAGCATGTAATATGACAAGTGTCCAAATAACATTTGGATTTGCAGAGGTTTATGCCTCTTTGACACTCAAAATGTGCACTCAGTAATAAGTTTTAGAGAGTAAAATGCAATAGCTCATTTTAAAAAGATGCAGATGCAGTAAGTGTGCCGTCTTCTTCGCTTGAATTGAGTTGATCATCATTTACAGTATACTGATAAAGGACAAAGGAGTCTTTTAGGACCTTCGGCTTTACCTTATTGCCTCCGTTCTCTCTCTCTCTCCACTTACCACAGTTCGTTTAGCAAGCATCCACTGCGTCAGGGAGGAAGAGGCGAGGGGAAGGGGAAGGCAGATAGCCATCGCTGACTCTGCTTTATTTACTTATTCTGGCCATAATTAGGACAGGATGAGGACACGCCAATGTCCTGTGCCCCTGGGGAGGAGAGTGGGACACCAGACGGGCATTAGGGGGTAGAGGGGTAGTATCATGCCAGGTTGTATCGTGTGGCAGCTGAGATAAACAATAACACACTGAAGAAATCAGCAAACCGGCTGTCCTGACTGGCCTCTCTCAACAGATATTTTGTTTTCTCCTTTTTTCAGTTTGTTCCTTTTCTGTTGTTTGGCAAAAAAACAAACAAACAAAAAAAACCTCTTCAGTTAGGGCTGTCTTTAAATGTAGAGCTGAAACAGAGATGGCCCAAAGAGCAAACAGTATAAAGACAGTATAAAGAGCAAAGAGTTTCCTCTATTTTAGTGATGGTAGTGATTTCGCTTAAGTGTTTCGTTTATACAAGGGAGGTTCTTCTAATATGAAAAACTTTCATCTGCCCTGTCTCCTTTTAGGGATCTAAACTTCAACAATCTGAAGACCTTCCCAGAGGCCATTCAGACACTGCCCAAACTGAAAGAACTGTGCGTATCTTCAAAACACACATTTAAGCAATCATTTACAGTCATTCTAATAGTTCCTCTCAGACACTTGTTTTGAAGTAGATTTGATATAGATGGTTGGGGTACCAGATTAGAATTTTGTTAGAAAAGGGGGTTTTCTGAACATCTTTTTCAGAGAGGAAAAATCTAATTGTTTTGAAGTTTCAGGTGCTTCTTTCATCATTTATATACAGTATATATATATATATATATATATATATATAAACTATAACAAAAAAACTATTGGGAGGCCTTTTTAAAATCAAGGAATATTAGAATAGTTTAATATTGTATTCAAAATCAAGGGTCCCAAACAGGTGTAGGTTTGTTAACCTCTTCATCATTGTGTTTAGAAATCCAGAGAGATTTTTTTTACTTGTGTCAAGCTGCCATCTAGTGTTAAGAATTAGAAATGCTATTGAGTAGTGATCAGTGATGTAACAGTTATGAATCCTGAGGGAGAATGTCTCAGAGTGCTCATCTCACAGAGCTTCTTAACAATTTTTAGCTTAATGATTTTAATTTTCACCTATTTGCCAGTGGATTTCATAGCAACAGCATCACATCCATCCCTGAGGGTGCCTTCAGTAGGAATCCCCTGCTACGCACAATGTAAGCAAACACTGATCCCACTGTCATGAAACACACACACACACACACACTCACTCACTCACACTGTCTCATTGAAATATTGTTGTGATACATTTTTGGCTATAAACATCCATTATGTCTTCAGCCATCTTTTTGACAACCCTCTCTCCTTCGTGGGAACTACTGCTTTCCAGAACCTGTCAGACCTGCACTCTCTGTAAGCAGAATCATTATTCAATCATTGTTCTGGAACTGAATTAATGACACTCACAATTAATTAATTAATTAAAGGGATAATTCAGTATTTAGCATTAAGCTTTGTATTAGTAGAAAACCAGTAGTATTTTCAAATTACCGTGCTTTCCACCCTCACATCCCCCCCCAGATGAGAGATTTATGCATTTCATTTAAAATGTGGTTGTTCCAAACCAGTATTGTACCTTCTATCTTCCATGACACACAACAGTTGATGTTTAGGAGTTGCTGTTTTCCGTAATGCACTTTTCTATATAATGGCCTATATGTTACTTTAATAATGCTTGTTTTCTTCAATTTTGGAGCCTGAATAGAATAAAGCTTTTCTTACTAACTGATGATCACAGAGTTTTAATTTCTTGAATTTGTTATATATTTCAGAATGCTGCGCGGTGCCAGTATGATCCAGGATTTCCCCAGCCTGACTGGAACAATAAATCTAGAAAGCCTGTGAGTTTATTTTACACTGGATAAACATACGCAAAGAACAGTGTCAGATAAAATATTAAAGCTGCAAGCAGCAATGAAAGGGCCCTCGCACCTGTGCCAACGCCACCCAGTGGCTTTAGGCAGACAGAGCACAGTGGGCAATGTGCATTTAAGGTAAATATAGCAGGAGAATATTACAAAATTGACATGTTTCTAGCATGTTTAGAACTCAATGGCATATTTAAAATACGTTGCTATAATAATAATATGTTGCTAGTACTGCATCACAGTGTAAAACATGACACTTCCTGTCGACAGTAGCTAGCTCTATTACTATAACTGAAAATTGTGATGTAGATGTGTTTAAGACCGAACACTTTTCAAAAGTGTGAAGTTTAGGGCAGATTGGACATTCCGTTCCTGAGTTACAGCAAATTCTGTTTCATGGCGAAACATTGAAATTTGTCAGGTTGCCGAGGACACGCGCTTTGATGAAAACTCAAGGCCTTCGCAATTTAACATCGCAAAGGCCTTAAGATTACACTTACCAAATTTGAAGATGATCAGATTAAAACCGTAGGAGGAGTTCGTTAAAGTACAAGGCCTGAAAATGGCAAAACTGGCAAAAATCTGAGAGGAAGTTCAAAATGGCTGACTTCTTGTTGTGTTCAGGACTACGCTGCAAAAAAATTCAATAGTTGCCTCCGCACCGTCGGTGCTTGGCCCCTAATAAATGGAGCAATTCCAAGACGGTCCTCACAACATCGGTACTTGGCCCTAAAAATTGCAACTGCAAAACATTTATGTAAGGTTTCCTAATATGGAAATATTATACAGCACAGCCTGAAATGACAATAAATTACAAAAAGAAAAAAGAAAAATTACAAGCCTTTACAGTTTAAACTACAGTATAAATGAATCAAAAACACATTTCACATTTAATGTATCTTGTGTTCTTCAGGACTTTAACAGGAACTAAAATCAAAAGCATCCCAGCAGACCTGTGTGAGGATCTGACTGTGCTCCGAACACTGTAAGTCACACACGACGCATGAGCACGGTTCATAATTCAGTGCCACTCATACTGCTGACACAACAGCATAACACATCAGAGACACTCTGTAACCATAAACTAATATGCTAATGCACACATAAGCATGTTTTTAAGCGGTGACATACCACTCATAACAGTTTGTAACGTGTGTCAGTCAGATGTCCATGAGCGCCTAGTGATGTGCCAGTTACAGCCTTGAGTGCTCAGTAATTAATCATCAGTCACAGGCCCCTTTACAAACAAAGGTTAACCGTCACTCAAAACACTCACACACGGTCATGGAAAAGCCTTCAAGCCGGTGCTGTCATTTAAGATACAAACATATGCTCAGCATGTCAGTCATAACGTACACTCCCCTCAAATACACACAGACACACTTCATCGCACACAAGCCAAGTGTGTATCAGTCAAGCGTCATCCATCTCACAGGCACGTACGCAGTGGCCTGTCAGAGGCACAGCTGCAGGGGGATGTTTTAAAGTAATGTCTAATGACCTCCCGGAGGAGAGTGAGCCAGAGGCAGGCATGACTGCTGTAACATATCACACATCCTTTAGTTCCTGTCTAAACTTCATCAAAACATTTCTATCCCTCACAAGCTCAGTCTCTCAACATTTGTGTGTATGTTCTGACAGAGATCTTTCCTATAATGACATTGGAGACCTGCCGTCCTTTCAAGGCTGTGTTAGACTGCAGGACATGTAAGTTCTGTAATCGTGCGACGTTTTTTTTCTACTGTTTAGACAATGTTCAATACTGACATTTGAATGGTTTATGAATAGGCTTTTTTTTATGTGTCCTGCAGAAGTCTACAGCACAATCAAATCCAGCAGATAGACAGAGGAACTTTCCAGGCGATGACTAGCCTTAGAGCACTGTAAGTAACCACAATTACAGTGCCATAATTGTGCGTAAATGCAAATATTAATGTATAATCAGCAGGTCATTCTCACAAAACAGGGTGATCACTCTAGTATTAGATGATCCTACATTATTACACCGCTACCTACCTCATAAATAAATAAATATATGGACATGAAATATTGATTTGAATTCTTTGGAAGATGTCATTATGTGAGAAGAAAGAGACTGTGGAGTGATGCAACAGAGAGACCTGAAGCTTGCAGTTTGTGCATTTAAGCACTCATTACATACAAATATTTGGCCCAAAAATAATGAAATTAACCTGTCAGAATAAAGTATTCAATAGAGTATTATTAATAATAATAACTGTAAATGGTCTAATAAACTATATTAATTGAAGAATTGTTTTTGTTGATGAGGATAATTATTATTAGGAATGCAAAGAATCTATTATTCAAGGCTTTCTGGGCATGCTTCAGATGTTTGCGCATAGTAAACTTTGTGTCCTGTAATAAAGTAAGGAATCGTTATATATAGATCATGTAACAGTTCAAGTTTTTACTTACATACTGTATATGATTTTCGACGTGTGCTGAACGTCGTGTAGTGAACAATCAGTAATAAAGAGCATGCAACAGAAGTGCTCGTTCTCACTTTGCCGCCAGTTAACGTTTGTAATAAGTGATCAGTAAAAGTGATCGGACAGGCTAAAACGTAAGTCATAGAGACTCGAAACTAAGGTTATTTTCGTAAATGAAAAATTGAAACTAAGACTAAAATTATTGGTCAAAAAAAACATTTTCGTGAACTGAAATAAAATTAAACATGCATAATAAATGAAAAACTAAACAAAACTAACAACAGTTACTGAAAAACTAACTGAAATAAAATAAGAATAAGCGAAAATAAATAATCATTTTCGTAATAAATTAAAAAAAGTCTATGTCGTGTTATATACATTAGGCTAGTACATCCCAGTAGAATGCAATTTCGATGGAAATGTATCAAATAACTCACGATATATCAAAGCAAGCCTAGTTGTATCCATTTTTTTGGATTCTGCTGCCTGTAACCGGTAGGCGTGGTTTGGGAGTGGCCTCGTAAGGGCAGCAAAGCAAGTGCATTCTGGGAGTTGTCGTCTTTCAGCCACATGAGTGAAAAATACATTTTCTGCCTTTTCTCAGTCTACAATGCTTCAATTTCAAAAACAATTTCACATTTCTACTATATAAATGACCAATATTAAATATACATTCATCTTCCCAGAGGTGAAGTGTCCCTTTAAAGGCTTTAAAATGCTTGAACCCTGATAATTGCTGCTCGCAGCTGTATTACTTTATTTGCTATTGACCTATCTGACCAAAATACAAACGTTCCAGCTCAATGTCTGTGAAAAACGAATTCGATCGACAAGCTGTGGTTTATATTTTATAGCTGTTTTACAAAAGCAATAAGTTACGAGAGGCCATGCATTAAAATTTCAACATTCATTTTTATTAAAAGTGGGTCATATACAGTATGTAGTTGAAATGTAAAAGTAATTTTGAATTTAGGGAATTAACCATGACCATTCAAAAATATGACTGGGTTTCTAAAGATACAAAGCTTAATGCAAATGAGTGAAGTGTCCCTTTAAGGCACACCTAGCAACACGTGAGTGTAAAATGACCAGCTTATGAGCTTTATTTCAATCAAGTGAATAGCAGTTCACTAATCACATCTCCTCACAGTGAAATCGCACAAGGCCAGATGCCTGAAATCTGAATCTTTACCCAGAGCCATCTGTATATGTTTAGCTTGTTTATCCGTTTGTTTTCTCACTGCTCTACAGAGACCTGAGCAGAAACCGGATCAAGTTCATCCACAGAGATGCTTTCCTTTCTCTCAGCGCTCTCACCAACCTGTGAGTGTTTAGTCAATGTGTATATGCTCTCATTACTATTCACATTCATTGTATTTCATTAGAAAAACTGCTGGGAAATTGAAAATATTATTGTCTTGATTTAATTGATCATACATTGCTCTTTAACTATATATTAAAAGTGCTGTGATGCAGTTTGTGCCTCTGATTAAACAACAAAGCCATTTGGATAGCCCACAGTCGCTTGTGTGTGTGTGTGTGTGTGTACATGAATATAATTGGCTTTTTTCCATCATGCCATTAGGGATCTCAGTCTGAACTCCCTAGCCAGTGTTCCTACCGCAGGACTGAGTGCACTGAACCAGCTTAAACTGACTGGAAATGTGGAACTGAGGAACGGTCTAATGTCTAAAAGTCTGCCTAAACTCAGGTAGAGCTCTTCACAGCCTTTCTCATGAGCCTGTGACTGATTATAGGTCATTAAGGTTGCTCCTGTGTCCCAGTTCAGTTTATATGAATAATGATGTGACGTCTTTACCTTCACCTGTTCTCTGTAATCACACTCAGAGTGTACTCAAGAAATCAGAGACCTTGAGCCTTTGATCAAAACCCAGATAATTAAGTAACTCTTCATGTCTTCCTAAACAGTTTCTCTCTCTATCTCCCCAAAGGTCAATTACGGTTCCCTATGCCTACCAGTGTTGTGCTTTTGTGACTTGTGACAGTGCAGTTAACCCAGCTGAGGATGACGAGCGGAGAAATGCATTTGGTATGACTTTTGGGCATATAGTATAATGCTTTAAGCTAAGCAGCTTCTGGTATATGTGGCCACATGTGATTGAATGGCATGGTCTGGCTGTGTTTATGTGTGGTATTATGTTTCTCATAGTTGACATGCTTTATAAATGTATTTGTTAGGTGGTGAGGAGGAGATGGAAAGGATTCCTCTAGTCATGCACTGCTCACCCTCACCGGGTAAATACAAAGAAGTCTCTTTTTCTCTCCTTTTGCTACAGCCAGAGAACTCTTAGTAATCTAATGTTACAAGACACTCACAGAATTAGTACCACCATAGAGCTGGTAAGTCCCGCCCATCCATAAAACTCCAAGTGGACCTCCAGGTTGAAAAAGCGTCAATGCAAGTGAATTATTTTCTGATCCCGTTTGAATTGTGCCATGAATGTAACAAATGTTGTCTGTGAATTTTTTATATAATTTCTCATGTAACGAGTTTGACAGTAAATTGTATGATACTTTGGCTAGCAGTTGTGGAATAGACATAACGAGAAAGACTACACTTCGCATATGTGACGTCGCCGCATAACACATTTTCCCTCCACAAATCACGGTTCCCTCCACAAAACAAGGCAGTGAAGTGCACGAAAGAGACACAGGCATGTTTAGCGGGATCCGTGTGCTGGTGGGTGTGATGTATATCAAACACGTCGAAAGAGTTGTAGTCCACAAAGTCTAACCGTATGAAAATTCTACCTGCTAAATTGTAGCATTCTTCACACGAAACATTATCTAAAAAATTCCCAGACAACATATGTTCGCATTCATTGCAAAATTCAAGCGGGATTAGAAAATAATTGTTTTCTCTCATTTACTTGCATTGACGATTTTTCAACCTAGAGGTCCAGCGGGGCTGGCTGAAGGGGCGGGACTTACCAGCTCTATAACACATCATATTTACCATGGAATGCACAAAACATCTGTACCATATTGGTCGTTTTGTTCTATTTTTAATTTAAAAAAAAAAATCTGTGCATCCGTATTATGTACTGTACACTAACGTTCAAAAGTTTGGGGTCAGAGTAAGGAGCTCCAAATCAGCATATTTGAATGATTTCTGCAGTGAAAGAAGACTGGAGAAATGATGCTGAAACTTCACAGGGATAAATTACATTTTCAGAAAAAAAAAGTTATTCTAGATCGTAATCATATTTCACAATATTACATTTTTTACTGCATTTTTGATCAAATCAATGCTGGATCTTTAATCTCTTTTTTAACATAAAATATTGAGTTACCTCTTATGCACTTGTATGCATTACCATCTTTACAGGGGCATTTAAACCTTGTGAACACTTGTTGGGAAGCTGGATGATCCGGTTGACCGTGTGGTTCATCTGCCTGGTGGCGCTCCTTTTCAACTGCCTGGTGCTTGCAGCCACCTTCTCCCCACGCACCTCTCCTCTCTCCCCGTTCCGACTCCTGGTGGCTCTCCTGGCCTCCGCTAACCTGCTGACCGGGGTCTACGTGGCAGCGCTGACACTCCTGGACGCTGTTACCTGGGGCTCATTTGCAGATTATGGCGTGTGGTGGGAAACAGGTGCCGGATGTCAGGTGGTGGGCTTCCTCGCCGTGTTTTCCTCCGAGTGGGCTGTCCTGCTGCTGGCGTTAGCTGCGGTGGAGCGCTGCTTTGCTGTGAGGGCTCTGATGGGCAAGGCGGGAGCTTTGAGGTCCAGTAGCGAAAGGAGGGAATGGCGAAGAAAGTTTGGTATCGCTGCACTCCTGTTGGGATTGGTATCTATCGCGGCGGCCTGCCTCAGTCTATATCATGAATCAGCCATGGGCTCTCCTCTCTGCCTGCCCTTCTCTGGAGGTCCCGGACCAGGTCTGGGGTTCACGGTGGCACTGGTGCTTTTGAACACACTAGCGTACCTGCTGAGCGCGGTTGTCTACATGCGGTTATACTGCAGACTGGGTCGTGCCCAGCTGGCTGACCCCGAGCAGGCCGGGTCTGTGAGGCATATTGCTTGGCTCATCTTCACCAACTGCATCTTCTTCTGTCCTGTGGCGGCTTTCTCATTCGCTCCCCTGCTGGCCGGGACCAGCAATGCAGTGGGCGGACCGGAAATGGCCAAATCCGTGACGCTCATATTCTTTCCCCTCTCCGCCTGCTTGAACCCTGTGCTGTACGTCTGCTTCAGTCCCTCCTTCAGATATGACTGGTTTCGGCTTAGAGGACGGGGGAGAGCTGGAGGTTGCGGCGGGCTGGTTGGTAAAGCGGTCACTAAAGGGACGGCAGCAGGAGGCTCGGCGCTATCTGACGACGGCGAAGGCTTGTCCAGCGATTGCGGAATGTACACAAAGTTGCACAGCAACACTCGGGGAATGTGCGAACACTGTGACGCCACCCTCCACATCAGGACATCTTCCTCTTCTGCTTCCTCCTCTTCCTCAGCCTGCAGACATTTAGTGAAGTCCCACAGCTGCCCTGCCCTGATGGCGAACGCATCTCAGTGCCTGAGCTCAGAGGGGTACTGGCCCGACACCGGGACGCTTTCCGCCCAGTCAGAATATGGAGACGAGGGCGATTCATTTGTGTCAGACAGTTCAGAGCAGGTTCAGGCTTGCGGCCGAGCTTGTTTCTGTCAGAGCCGCGGCCTCCCTTTAGTACACTACTCATATAACGTCCCCCGCATGACAGACTGAGCTCACAGCCCCGTGCACTCACACACTCACTTCCTCACAGAGTCCCCCAGGGTGTGGAGTGTCCCTGCTCCGCAAGGACAGAGAACAGGGAGGGGCTGGACACATGGCCGCAGAGCCATTGAGACAAACAGACCGGAAGCACTTTTCACACTTGTGTGCATGTGTGTGTGTGTGTGTGTGTGTGTTTGAGTGAATATAGACCAAATCCATAAAAAGGGAATCTGACGATACAGAACGACTCTCTGAGCCAAATGTTGTCGGCAAACAACATGTTTCCTGTCCACCTCCTCAGCCAAATTCAGTTGCATTGGCACCCAGGGGTGATTGACAGTAGGATGGCCACAGTAAGCGTATATCCCCAGTGCCTGCCTTTCAGTTTGCAAGAGTAGGACATTTTTAGAAGAGAAAAATATATTTTCCCTTTTATTCTTTCAAACGTTTGTCCTTTCAATTTAAAGCAGGGATATGTGTGCCATTGTTGATTGTCTTTTTTCTTATTCCTTGTCATCATAAAGCCTGACTGAGTTCCAGTTTGCCGATGAGAATGTAATGTTCATACTGTCTTGTGTTTATGCCCTCTCATTTCTGAGTAAGTTCAAGTTGAAAAGCATTCATTCCTTGCCTATTTTTTTTTTCTGGAAGTGATCTTAAAATCACAGTCCTCTCCTTCATCTAAAAGAGTGATCCATGCCAATACTCTATTAACTGAAAAGAAATCATATTTAATTTATGTTATACAATTACTTTTGGATGTCTTGACCAGAGCGCTTCCTTAATCACTAGTAAATTTCGAATAATTTATTTTAAGACATGGAAATGGTTTGATGAATGAATGGCAAACTACACTTTTTTTATTCTGCTATTAAGTCACTAGATCATTTTGATATGTATTTTGTACACTGGTAGTGAAAAAAATGGGTTTCACGTTAGTCATGTTATGGTCGATAAACTCTATATATATATATACTGTTAAAAATAAATCAAAAATAATTCTCTAAAAGTGAAAATATATATTTTTTTACATTCTACAAATGAATTTAACATAACATAACATGAAAAGTTTAAAGATTAACTTTAATTGAGAATTTGATGACTACAAACCTAATCTAAAATTGAAAACAAAAATCTAAATATGAAATGAGCATGCAAAATTAAATGTTCTGTTTTGTTAAATCCCAATAAAATAAAAATCAAAAATCGTATAAACGAAAATATCTTGATCTTGAATATTGTGCATCCCTACACAATAGCTGATGTTACATGCTTTTTTCCAAGGTCTTTAATATTTATAGCCTGTCCTTATGAAAACCCTTTTTTTACTCTACACTTAACATCCATACAGTAGCATTCATGTAATCAGCTGTATAATATATTGATGTTGATGTTGCCATTAAGCTATGTCATGTGGGATGGACAAGGGGACCAAAGTATGTCTTTGTGTTTAGCAAAATAGAACATTTCTTCATCATGATTCTACTTGTATACCTTTGTCCATGTATGTTCAGGAATTCAAGTGAAAGGAAATGTGTTTGTTTGCCTTACATACCGAATGTCAACACCTTTCTTTGGTCTTCTAATATGTTTGCAAAGTGGATGCCATTTTGCCAGTCATATAAGCTCTGGCATCAACTGACAAGCCTTGCAGGTCGTAGCTACTAGAACTGACTTAATTCCAAAGTGTGTCTGTGTGTGTGTGTGTGTGTGTGTGTGTGTGTATGTGAGAGAGAGAGGTTTGTCAGAGATGTCAGTATGTTGTAAATTATTTTTGTAGGACACACACATCTAATCAAAAATGGGATGCATTGTCTAACTGTGGAAGCTACCTCTTCAACCGTAGTGGCTACCAGTAGTGAGTAGTACATGTGGTTACGTTTTCATGTTCATTTTGTTGGTATGATTGCTTGCGCTGTAAATACATCTAGTTGTGTGTTCTTACTGAATGAGTCATGCGTTAGTTTGTACTGGGAGAAAATGACATACTGTATACAGGCATTTTTGTAAACCAAACTATATAAACTGATTCTCTTTAAAGATGGGAGTGCTTGTCCTTTGTTATTAAGTTTCTCTCTTGATAGTTTAGTCCTCTTTTAGTTGATGAGTTACACATGTTGTGTCATGCTCTTTTTATTCCAAGCTGAAATCCTGACACTGTCCTGTCCTGACATTGGTAATTTTAAATAGTTTTAAATAAGTTTTAAACTATTCAAGTTTTAACTGTACAGTATTATGTGTGTCATCCTAAATTGGCTCTTTATAATACTGACTGCAGCTCCTAAAACTTCACCTTCTTCGTGTCATAACAATGAACATTAGCGCTTCAATGCTTTTCATTCCAAAATAGCAGCCTTCTTCAATATTAAAATGTTTTATGTGGTTAATGCATTAATTATCCTTTAACCTGTCATAGCGTTTAAATGCCTAACAAGATTATTTATCCAATTAATGGAGCATTACTTCGTTTTTAAAAAGAGGAGAGTGTCAACAAAACAATCGTCTGTTAAGCCCATGGGAATTGTACGTTTCCTAAAAGAACGAAAAAAACATCAGAGCCGGTGCTGTGGAAAAAAAAGCTCCACCAATCGCAGTCAGGTCGGGGATTGTGGAACCACCAGACACTGCCAGAAGGGATAGGATAGGGAGAGATTCTTAATAAAGGGAATAGTCGATTCTGTTTTTTTTTTCTTTTTTTTTCTGCTTCTAATTTTCGTCTTATCAGACTCCCGATGCTTAACTGCAGTGGTGGAATAAGAACATTTGAAGTAGATCCCCTGGTGCTCGTCGCTAAAAGTTGCTAAAACATCTCAGTGGGAATCTTTCCTAAGGTGCTTGTAATTGAACCAAGCGCTTAAGCGTGGATGCTTTCTGCAATATTACATTCACGCTGGTTAACCTGATAAACTGCCATCTTAAGAACTTTTAGTAGCCTACAGATCATGATTGAAGATTCTGATTTTACCTGACTTACGGGCTGCGGTTTGGTGTTTGAGGAGATCTATAGTTTTTTGCAGACCTCACTGTGTTGAATGGATAGCTTTGATTAGGCAGGGGTGAAATGTAGCCTGCCAGGATTTGTTATTACCTTAATGTTCCTGGTGATAGACTAAAACCATCCAGGCTGAGAAAAAGACTCATTACTAAGACTAATATCACAGTCAGTACTAAATATATGGCTTGTGACAGGCAATTCAACATGTAATTAGTGATTCTGACAGGAAGGAGGCCTCATATGCCTCCAGTTCTTACCAGTCCAGCAGATTTTGTTGTGGCTTGTAGGCGCCTCTAGATGGCAGTGCTGTTCAGCTGGATTACAGATAACGCTTTTTCTTTTTCCGTGCTACTTCAGCTTTACATTAAATGGGATATTTTCCACAGCCGCTGAGAGCCTCTGATCTTCCCAAATGTCCTCCTATAACCTTCATATGTAAGTGAACAATGCACATGGACCTGCTTAGCCACTACTAGGAGAGAAACCACCTGCAAGAGGTAAGATAATAAATTAAGCACCCATTATTAATGTTAGGCCTAATAAAAACTCATGTCTTTACTTCAAGAGTCATGTAAATATGATCCAGATTTATGGCTTACGTGTTGTTGTTGTAACGTTAGGCCTATTTATTTGACTTGTTACTGCTGCAATCTACCATACAAAGATGTAACTGTTAGGCCTATGACATTGTCATTTTAAAAAGTATTAGTCTCCAAGAGAGTTGCTAGGGTGATACTGTGAACTAGGTAAGCTAATTGCTTTACCTGATTTTTTTTATCCACTTTTAATTTACATATTTAAAAATTACAATACTTGCTGTAAGTTACTCAATTATGAGGAATGTACTCATTTGATTGAGATTATAATGCAAAATAGTTATCTTCGATCAGGTCTGTGACGGATATTTCCATAAACGAACATGTCGTTTATCATTTACGTTTATCATGTCACATAAAACTGTAGCTACCATCTTGCCAAGGATTAGCTAGTACTCCAATCATGTGGCAGCGACAATCAATCATGAAAACGATGATCGTTGTGACTAAAAATATATATACGTATATATATATATATATATATATATATATATATATATATATATATATGAAGAGTTCAGATGCAAAAGCCTCTAAATGCCATTTGAAATTTTCTTCTTTAATGATGATTTTTATCAAACTTGTATATTTAAGTTCAGTAATTTCACTTAAATGGCAATGATAATTACCTATTAATTGTTATTTAAGTGAAATTACTGAACTTAAATATACAAGTTGGATAAAAATCATCATTAAAGATGAAAATTTCAAATGGCATTTAGAGGCTTTTGCATCTGAACTCTTCATATATATATATATATATATATATATATATATATATAACAAATATAAAAAATACATATTTTTATAATTATTTTTAATTATTGTTATTACATTTTTTTTTCTGATTGGTTACTGCGGCAATTTAGGGCAGTAACCTACTAGAGGTCTGATTAGACCTCTGATTAGTAGAGGGGTCTGAAGGACAGCATGCCGTCCAGACCTGCGAAATTAAGTGAAACTATGGATTTGAAAGCGTGATGCCTGGGCCTTGGAAGCACTTTGATCATGAAACTACAAGTGCAAGATGTGCGGTGCCAATCTGCCATACTTAACATTATAATGAGAACAGCATTTTAATAGAACGTTGTAAATTCTTTATGCTTTAGTCGCCCGTGTTTCAGCATTGTTGTTAGGGGAAAGAGCGCATCCACAACGTAGGCTACACATTCAGACAAACATCAAGTTCACGTGCACATTAGAGTCCTTTTCTGCTGATGCAAGTTGTAATATTACTTTTATTTTGGCTATATGGGCTACATCTGTTTAAGCTCATATAGGAGTGTTTGGTTATATTGATGATCTAGCAGTGTTATTTTTCTAGTCATGTTTTCATGATAGAAATATTTTATGACATTTTTATTTCGTCAACATTCATTTTCGTATACGTTTTAATTAAAGTCTTTTGGTTTTATTATCTTCGTGCCAAAAATTGACTACAATGTCCATCCCTACTTGCCACGTACACTGGAAAGCTTGAATCATTAAGAAAGAATGGGGAAAGGCCCAAGCAGAGCCGTCAGTGCTGCAATTTAGTGAGCTAGAAATCTCCAAGTCTTTAAATTATGCTTTCTTCACCATGTGCAGAATTTTACAAGGTTTCATTAAACCGAGTCATTAGCACATAAAAGTCATTCAGAGCACAGTACCAACTGAGCAGCTGAGCCACAAATCTCTCCTTGTGCAGATTCTATATAAAGGACAAACGGGAAGGAGTGATTCTGGACCCGAACCATTGAAAAGAGAATATTGCTTAAAAAAAAAAAAAAGGAAAATCTTTTGGCATCCCGAATGTTGATTCTTTCTGGCATGAAATGAATAAGCAAAGGGTATCAGTGGAGCTGTCCATCTGGACCTGGGAGCTGCAGAACACGAAATCCAGGGGGAGGAGTTGGATCCAGATTCCTATCTCTGCCACCTAACCCCATCCCTAATCCTACCCATCTCCACCCCTTAGATCTGGATCCAACTCCGCCCCCTGGATCTCGTGTCCAGCAATGAGGTGCTACTAAGAGACAACGTAGACCGAGTTTGTCAAGAAACTTAAACTGTTAAAAATAAACCCCGCTCAGTCTGCCGGCTACAAATTTAGTCAGCTGTGGCACAGAAGAAAATGTCACACGCCAAATATAGTTCCACCTTACCTTCCACACCACCTTTAACCCACTAAGACTATATAAATGTATGTACTATCATAATCGATGTTATTTTAGTATTGTTTATGTACTATTTTTGTATTTAGCTTCTATATTTTCAGTTTTCATTTTCATTTTAGTCATTTCATGATTTTTTTTGCTTTTGTCATTTCAATTCGTTTAAGTTTATTTAACTTTTAGTCATTTTATTACTTATTTGGCTTTATTTCAGTTTTTTAAATTTACATGTAATTTTATTTCAGCATTATTTAAATGATCAAATATTATTTTGATTCATTTTAGTTTTTCTTTTTGTTAAAGATAACCCATATGAAAAGATTTAGTCACCTTACTCTAAAGTAGAAAATAATTAAACTAAACAAATTAAACTTTCTAAATGTGTAATTTCTCATATTCTGATTTTCAAACTATGTACCGATAAATTAAAAGGCCAATCTGTTTGGCTATTAAATGTATTTTTTTTTTTAAAGCAGCACTATGTTGTTTTTTCAACCTTTATAATATTTTTCCAAAACCCTGGAAATGGTACATCGACTTACAATAGGTTGAATGACAGCTCTGCCATAGCCTGACGTGGTCTGTATCACTTTTACTGGCACTCTGTAACTTCGGGGAGCGGGTAGGAACCCAAGCATAAAAAGAACTACAAGATTCGACTGCTTTACGACATACGTCACTTCCCCCACTTCCTCAAATGCATTAAGTAAAACAGTAGCCATAGTATAACGTTACTAATAAAGACGCTGGCTTGTAAACGTGAGCTACACGATCTTTTGACATTTGAAAACAAAATAAAGCCCATGACACTATATTCATAAGACATGCTGAAATATATGCCAATGTATCTGGGATGAAGACATTTCACACGCAACACTGGAGCCTTCCTTCTGCAGAGTTGGGGGGTATCGCTTGTCAACAAATGCACGCGTGTATTCCCTAGTGTAACCATGACAGATTTTACGACAGTAGTAGAAGACAATACTGTTTCCCAACTGTAGGGGGACCCCGAGAGCAAACTTTCAAAAATAACATGCTGCTTTAAAAAACATTTATTCAACGACTAGTCAAACATGCTGCATTAGACAAATACCTGTCTAGTGGATGGTGACATGCTTAAAATAGCTGAAATTAGTTTAAAGGAAAGTCTCCATCAACAAGGTCAATACATAACCACACCAATATAACATATTAGACTATGATTGTTTGCTCAGTGGAGCCAAGTGTGTTTACTTAGTTTAGAATAAATACAGTCAGACAGCCTGTAAACGGAAAGTTAGTTCCAGTTGTTTTTTAACGTCACCCCTATAACAATAAAAAGTTAGTATGATTTCTATCCACTCAAGAGGCTGTTAATAGCAGTTCCTCTCCCCATGGCCTTGTCTGTGGTATCTCTGACAACACACTCTGCTCATATCAGCAGATATTATTTGATAAAGGGAGCAAAGGGCACGAATGTGCTGAGGGATTAGCATTTGCTAACATTACAAGGTAATTCACAGTGGCACATCTGCCATCTTGATTGTTTGTACAGAGAGCACATACCTAATCACACTGAGTTGCCCGTTTTCATCTCCCCCTGGCTTTCCTCTCTCAACGGCTGAAGGTGATCACCGCCTCATTGGAAAACGGCTTCAGCTTAACCACATCCTGCTTATGCAAGCTTTATCTCTCGCTGTCAAACATCTCACACAGATGCACCGTGGCAAGGCTCATTTTTAAGCCCCTGTGTTGATGAGGAAAGCTTCTGGGATGTAACGCTTTTCCAATATACGTTAGGTTATCCATATCATTTTACTAGATTCTACGCTATGCATATTAGGGGTTTTTGTGAGTAATGTATAGAAATGTACAACTATTGGAAGCCCATAACGCAACTCTCTGGAATAATTGATTCTGTTTGGTTGACTCCGACTCTATATCAGACGTCAACAATACAGAAACGGGTCAACCCCTACTAACAATGTTCTCAAAATATTCTGGAAAAGGTTCTCTCAAAGTTATGAACTAACATTCATCTAATAACATCAATACTGGCATTCAGAATCACAGATTATTCTTTTTGAAAGAATGATCAGCATCATAATTTTTACCGAAAAATGTCATCTGAGCTAGTAAGTAGCATCTTCTTTTGTTCTGTCTTTTACATTGCAGTAAATGGCGCTGATTAAATCTAACAATTGCTTATAAGTTATCAAGTCACGCAAAACCATGCCAATTGTTCATGTTAACAATATCAGCATTGGGATACATATCCTTTCGATATGTATCCTTGTTTTCGCTTGGGTCTGGTTGCAGTCACTTTTTCTGTAATTTAGCCGCTCAGAAATCTTAACAAAGTCTTTCGCATTTTACAGCGGGTGAATCTGTTGTCACTGGTGATCGTCGTTTGAACCTTTCTGGATCTGCCATCAAACTGATGTTTAATTATATCAAGTGCTGTGAGAAAAGGCTATAAATCTCCACCTCCAGCATCCTCACACGCAATATAGCTTATATTAGCTGAGACTCCTTTTTTATGTGTACAGATGTGACGTAATGAGGCAAAGACATGCTCGAATCTCACGCGGAAATCCACCAGTACCACTGGAATTAAAAATATTATTACAAGCTTACCACTTTGAATACAGTACGGCAAGCAGATAGCGTTGAACACTGGCTGGTTATGTATTTTCTCTTGTATGTATTTTGGATCGTTTTTATCCCCAAAAAAGCTACGGACTGCAGCTTTAATGGTGAAATTAGCAATAAGTTCTTAGAACATGTTTTTGTTAACTGATACCTCTTTGCTTTAAGTGCCTGATTATGAAACTTACACGGCATATGATTTGTCATCTTACATTGGTGTGATATAATGGTAAATAAACAAGACAATAGATCGTGAAATTAAATATTTTCTGTTTTTAACTGCTCAGCATGCTAGCTTAGCCTTAGCATACCTTTGTATTAAACTGGATAATGTACAGTATGTAATTTGTTTGATGTATAATATGAGTTTGCATGAAATCAACACTGAACTCCTTGCCATTGTCCCACTAGGTCCAGTGGAAAGGCTCACCATGATCTTACATTGAGAAAACAGGTGGGTTTGTCCTTATGCCCTAGTGCTCCTTTTTCCTCTTCATTTCAACTGTATCTCTCAGCAGCTGTTTCTCCCTGCCAGTGAATTAGGCATCCATTGCAATAAGATGTAAAACACAGAACAACGCAGCCTTATTGAAACATTGATGACTCTTAACTCTTGTTCTAGACACACTTTTATCCTCTGGCTCAGCCTTTAGTTTTCATCCGCTGTGATAGGCAGAACACTGGTTTGAATGCTGCAGTGTGTATCATAATTGAACAACTTTATGTTCTATTAAATGTGTATTGTGTTTTTAAATGCTACATCATCTTAGGCTGTCGAGCCACTGTCCAAGGAAGGAAGGAAGGAAGGAAGGAAGGAAGGAAGGAAGGAAGGAAGGAAGGAAGTAAGGAAGTAAGGAAGTAAGGAAGGAAGGAAGGAAGGAAGGAAGGAAGGAAGGAAGGAAGGAAGCTTCTTGAATTTGTAGGATAATATTTTGATAGCACTTTACAATAAGGTTCCTTATAGTTAACATGAATTAACAATGAAAAACATTATGAAGTAATGTTAATATTAAAATTGTTAATATTAGTTCATGTTAATTTCAACCATTAATAATAGTTGTAATTTTATTGTCCAACATTAACAAATATTGATAATGTAATTAATTGCTCACTGTTAGTATTTTTAGTGGTCACACTTTAGACTACGGTCCAATTCTCACTAATAACTACAGCTTTTGCATCAATAATATCCTAATTACTGCATATTAATAGTTAGTAAGCTAGTGGTTAAGTTTAGGTATTATTGGGTGAGATTAAAGGATGAATATGGTCATGCAGATTGAGGCATTAATATGTGCTTTATAAGTATTAAAAATAGTCAATATCTTAGTAAATGCATGCTGATAAGTAACTGGTTAATAGTGAAAATTTGACCCTAAACTAAAGTGTTAGCATAGTTAATATATTAACTAAAAGGACCTTATTGTAAAATGTAATGTTATTAAAGGTGTCATAAAAGTCTTAACTTTGTGTCATTATGTAAGTAAATTATATAACTACAATTTGCATTAATCTTCAGACGTTGTGCTTGCATGAATGAATTCAGGCACAGTAATAGATCTGTAACGAAATGAGATTGGTCATGGATTATCAAACATGACTTGATGGAGAGTTTCACTAGAACAGGCACCGGTCGCTGATTCAACTCGAGTCTGGCTACATTAACAAGCAGAGTTTTGGAAGCACGAGAGTCCATTGCCTTCATGGAATCACTTGAGGCAATTTTTTAGGGAGCGCTTTTATTTTTTTTTTTTCCTCTTTGCAGACACTCTAGTACCTGTAGAGACACTTTACTGGCTATAAACCAAGCACCTGATTGATTATTCATGGACAAATGCTCATGGAAAGGACAGCATATATCAAGTAGTCACCCCAAAAACTTGCAGCAAACCAAATTTAACAATGCAACCGAGACAGAAGCTCCAAAGTCAAAGTAAGGGTGCACTGCAGAGGAGATACCCAGCCAAATATACTGACTGGCCGGTCCCTTATTCCCAACCACCTGATCACCAGGGCACTTTCACAGCTCTGCGGCTCAAGTGCATACAGAAATGTGAGGTAGATTAAAGTGCTGCAGTGTATATTTGTTCTCTGCTGACGTCTTTTAGATTATCAATGCTAAGTATGTGTTGTTGTTTGTTTCTTTTTTGTGTTATTTTATTCGAATAAATCCAAGCTGTCTTCCTCTTTGCTGTGTGTCATTGCAGGGGGATGTGACAGGAGGGCCAGCGGGGCAGTACACGTCTGCTTCCATTTGTCATAACGAAGAGCTGTCATGCAAGGTGTGTGTGTTGAAACACTTTTACATCAGCATGTGTTTGTCACCCTGGGACGGATCCGTGTCCATCCTCTGCATTCTGGAAGGGAGGCATACAATTAAAGATGTCACACAAATGTAATTATGTTTCACATATTATATCACATGAGCGCTTAAATGAGCACACAAACCCACCCATGTTCACGCGACATGCATGTCTAGTTAGACGTAGAAATATGACATTTTGCTCAGCTACACATTCATATATGTTTATGCATGGTTAACTTCTCCCACATATTTTGCATTCTGAATCTCATTTCAACAGACACCCCACCCCCACCCCCCCTTCCTTGACATGGCCACACACACATAACCACATCGAGATGGGGCTGTGAGGGTTGGCTGAGCACCTCCAGGCCAGATCCTCCTTTCCACATGAGTGTGTCCAGTCTCCATTCCTCACCCCCTCCCCTCTCCTTCCCTCTCCTCTTGGGCCACGGGCTGCAACATGGCTCGGAATACTCCAAAGACACACTAAATCAAATCCTCATCGCAAGCTGTGTCTTTTATTAGAGTTATATAAGTGTGTATGACGAATAGAAAGATAGCGAGGGAGTTGCTTCTGTTTTTTAGCTTCGTGCTGAGGGATGCCGGGTAGAAAATACATCATGTCAATTTTATTGTCATGATTTTTTTTCCACTAGTCTATAAAATTGTGTTTTAGGATTTGTTTACAATTTTCTGACCTGCTCAGATATCGAAGTGATTCCCGCTGACCTTTGGCTCACGTGAATGACTATGGCCTAATTCTGATACACAGATAAATGGCGATTTTTGAATCACGGCACTCTTGGTCTAATGCACTAAGGTGGGGGATTTCAGAGCCTGAAGGCTTTGAGGAGATGCCACACAAATCTGATGTAAAGTGGAGGCCAGATGCACAATGCTACCACAATCAGAGGCTCAGTTGCTCCCCTAACAAACACACAGCACCTCACCTCAGGCATTTGAGGGTTGTTTTGAACAAAAGTAATGTAATTTTATGAATGCATCAGTCTCAAGTACCATACCATACTGTTTTCTATAAACATTCTATAAGCTTCCACGCTATAGACCATTTTGCAAGATGTAAACAACACTGGTCCAGAAGCACTTCCTGTTTCGATTTTTTAACACTACATAAAAGCTGGGATAAAATACAACCAACAAAACAACTCAAACTGAATCAAAAAGTTAAACAAACATCTTTAAGATGTTTTCTTTACATGTGAAATAAAGAAAACAGTTACAAACTGAAACAGGAAGTGTTTCTGGACCAGTGTTGTTTACATCTTGCAAAATGGTCTATAAAAATCACTGGGTTGTTTCAACCCATGTTTGGGTCAATAATGGGCAAACCGAAACAATGTAAACCAACAGTATGGTTTGTCCATATTTGACCTAAACATGGGTTGAAACCACCTTGAATTTTGTGTTCATACACAAAGTAAAGGATGGCAAGGGAGACAGGAGCTCTTCCAAAAAGTAGAAAATAAATGAGAGTATAAAAAGTATGTTTAAAACGTAAACACAAATCATCTTTAAATCACAACAGTGGTGTGATCAGTGTGATAATGACAGCATATTCACATTATTACGATGATTGGCTTAAAATGATGCTTTGATGTGAGTGAGCTGGTAGCAAATAAATGATAGGGACGCATCTGTCCCAGTCACCATCAATATATTTGTGATTAGGCATGTGCCGGTATCAAATTTTCATGCTGCGGTTAATTGATTGAGCTTTTATCACGGTATACGGTATTATCACAATATTTTAATGAAATTATATTTTAATGCTCAAGAAAAACAGATTCATTGTGGGTAAAAAAAAATTTTGTTGTCTAAAAAAAACCTCAACTAGCATCACAATGTATAATTGTGATTTTCAAAACATATGGTAATTGTGATGTTTACCTGTTAATAAAAGATGACTATTAATTATAATATAGCCAAAAAATTTATTTTATAGGTGATGTTAAAAAAACATTAATAAATTAAATATACTGTATGTTGCTGCATACACAATATGTAGCCTATGTGTAATAAAGACACACTTTCTTTTTTATGTATTTTTTATTATTCAGTCAGAATTAAACTGATCGAAAGTGACAGTTAATACATTTGCAACTTTATATTCAAAGAATCCTACAAAATAACAGCATATTAGAATGATTTCTGAAGGATCATGTGATACTGAAGACTGGAGTAATGATGCTGAAAATCCAGTTTTGCCATCACATCACAATTAGCATTTTTGAATAAATTGTTATTTGAAATTTGAAAAACATATATCTTTTTTTTTTACCTTTAGGCTAATTTTATTTTTCAAATTTATTTCAAAAACACAAAAAACTTCCAACCTGTCGAACAACATCTTGTATGTATATCGATTTACACTGAATTCCACAACATGCCACTGGGATTTAATATGTGATGACATAAAATAGTTAAATGAAACTCATTCCTCAGCCTTCCACAATGTTTGTTTTAAGACTTTTCTCACGGTGTGTGTGTGTATATATACAGTATATATATATAGGATAGGATACTTTTTGGACTGCCATATCTCTGCTCAATAACTCTCATTACAATATCTCTGGTTGCAGACGGAGGGTGATTTGCCGACTTGCAAGGGTTTGCATCATGGCAGTCTCTCAGTCAGACATCTATGAAGCCCCTCCTAAGCGTAGAGCTTAACAGACGCTCATTTGAAAGTCTAATTTGCTAATATGTCGGTTAAACATGAGTTTATTTATTTAGTAAGGAAAATGTAATGAAAACCACTAAATCAGATTATTCCAGTGTATGAGTAAAATCCTGCGTGTTCTTCTGTGTAAATGAGAATACTGGGCGACCAACTGTGTTTGTAATTGCCTGCTCTTCTTTGTGTTTGTGCATGGTTTTGAGTGTTAGCTCGTGCTGAGTGAGTGTTCTGCTATGACAGTGGTGGTGACACACACTGTCCTGTTGCAGGGCAGCATGCCTGATGAAAACAGTGGCCTGGCAAACGCGTGACTAGCTCTACCGTTCTCCCTGCACTGTTGCGTCATCTACCTCCAGGACATCTCACAGCAAACGGATTCTCTCGGACTGAAACGTCTCCATGTGATTTGACCACCCAGCTCTAACAGGGCCATAAATCACTCTCATATTCATTTTTTTCTTTAATGTTCAAAACGTTCCAATTTAAACGTTCTAATCTAAGTCTAAAAAAAAATAATTTAAAGCAAAAGCATCATGGGATGTCAGACAGGCGTTCTATACTTTATATGTCCGATTTATTGTGGGTTGATTGCCAGACCTTCAAAGGATTCCGATTTAAATGCTACTAACGTCCAAGGCCATAGAATCTCGCTTCCAAAAAAAAGCCAGTGGAAGTGAATATATTGGATCAAATGCAAGCATGGAGTCTTTTGACATCCTTTTTTCAGTTTGCTTGAATGAATTAAGTGTTTGTGAAGTTGTGGCCATGTCTTGCTCAATCATCTTCACTAACTTTGTCAAGATTTTGTGGAGCGTCACTCTATAGAGACCAATGGGTGAATAAAGACACAACACAGTCTTCCTTATTTTCTCTTGTGTTTCGGCAGATTGTTGTTGTCACTATTCAGATGAAGATGAGGGCAGACTGGTTTGTGACCAACTCTGTCAGACCCCATTATGTCAGACACACTTACGGTCTCTGTTTGTCCTCCCAAATATACCAATGACATCATCTGTATGCAGAGTATGGAAAATGAGTCAGTGAAGCAGCGCACTTTCAGAGAATCATAAGATTTACGCATGGATGCAGACTAGAGCAGGAGTTTCTTGTTTTGGTAGAAATGTTTTTCTTTGTTCCCCAATCTTTCTCTGTACCCATTCTCTTATTCTATTTATTTCCCCCCCACACCCTTGACAACTTGCTTCTGATAACTCTGTTCTTTTACAGATTGTTTGTTTGGTTTAAGCCGGGGTGTGTCAGTCTTTGAAAGGAGAAGCTTCTCTAGTCTCTACAGCATTTTTGAAGGATGAACAAAGTTTTTCTACAAGGACGCAGGTATTTTTAAATCAGTCATTCTATATATATGAACCATTATCACCTCCACAACGAAACTGCCTGTTGCAGATGATCAGGTGTTATTGTTTAGAAAGATTATTTATACATCTCCACTTACAATGATGACCAAATGTACAAAAATAGACTAGAATTTGATGGGTGATTTAAAAAAAGACAGCCTGTTGTGTCCCTCATATCCTGTGTGTAGATAAATACTTTAACAATGAATAGTTGATGCTAAATTGTAGATGTTATTATTTTATTTGTTGTTATTTATTTATTTAATTTATTTGATGTTATTCAAATTAAAAATTCTCGTAATAAAAAAAATCATGCATTTTAAAATAATCTATAAAGTTAAATAAACAACTTTTAAAACACAACTATAATATTACATACTTTCTTTCCCGTTCAGTTAAAACTGGTGGTGGATTATTCAGTAAACTTGTAACTATCTAAAAAAAAATCGACACAGTGAGCAAAAGAATTCCTCCCATCACAGAATGATCTTAACAACCAGTTTGTTCATACAGACAAATGGACATGCTGTGACAAAAATGCGGAATTACCAGTCTTAAAATGTTCTGCATGAGATGACAAAATGTAAGATGACATTTCGATTAACAAAGACCAGCCCAAGTGCATTCTTGACATTTTCTTCTTGTCATTTGTCTCATGGTTTTAATAGCAATCTCTTCATACTAATATACATAATATTATATTATTATGTATATTAATATTAAATCCACACCCACAGCAGAGAACATTTAATGAATCTATGAGGGAAACCCTCCTGCTGAATGGAGTCGAGCCCTTGTTGCCCTGACTCTTTTATCCTCTCCTAGAAAGCACTAGTTCTGGAGGGATTTGCACCGACCCTCATTTTTTTTCAGTCCGCTGAGTGAAGCTATAGCTATTTTTGGCATCACATGACAGACTACCACAGCAGCGTACCAAAGAGCCAAAACTCACACAGTATCCTCCGAGCCTACAGCCAGGTGACATAAGGGTCCACTATATGAACAAAACAACAGGCTGCTGTTTTCAAACACAACTTTTGGATTTGGAAAGCTATTATTTCCACATCTTTCAAAAAAAAAAACACAATGGGCCTCTCTGCCATGTGAAGCAGTTTAGGGAGACAACGTGGTCCAGAGAGCCAGACTTCAGAAATGAAAGAATTAACGATGATAGAAAGCGAGAGAGTCCATCCATTTTGATGAGCTTAGATCAGTCTGCGAAGATTCAACCTGAGATTCAATCAACAGAGTTTCGGCTCTAAACCTTTTATCAGCAGAATGTATCACTGGAATTAATGCTGATAATTGACTCAATTCATTAAAATCTGTCTGAGTCAAGGATTACTTTCTTCAGTCAAGTGAAAGTGAGCCTGAAGATAAGTCTAGACATCTAAGGCTCTGAAAGTTGTTCTTGGCAGCTCTACTTTGACCTCAACTGAAAGTTTCAGCCTGACATATCATTGAAAATGTATAAAAGCAAGCGTATTTGTTAATATTTTTTAAATAAAACAAAGCTGATTTCCTACATCATCTATTTTTTATAAATAAAATATTTGGTAACACTTTACAATAAGGTTTTATTTGTTAACATTAGTTAATATGTTAAAGGTCCAATATGTAAGAATTTTGTAATAAAATATCCAAAAATCACTTGTACAGTGTGATATATTTCCTGCAGTTGTGTACTTACAATATCCCAAAAGTCTCCAAAGTTCTTTTATTTCAGAGAAATTCCAATTCCAAGTGGCCGTCCCAGAAAGAAACGTCGCCAGTCAATGATGCAATATCCGCGCTATCCTCGGTTTCCGCTCGTACTGCCATAGCCATAACGTAACCATGGCGACAGATGTGAACAACTGCATAGTGAGTAACGTTTAGCACTAGCAGCACCCAGTTCTTGTTTTGTTCAAACATAGACCATGGCAAGCAGACTTTGGGACAAACAAGGAGAACTAAAATGAGGATCAATATCAGCGTGATGTTTTTGAGAGCGCGTCCGAGACTGACTTTCACTCTACAGAGAGCTAGCGTCCGTGACTAATTTGGACTTGACAGAACTTCACGAGTCACGACTTTGCTTCCATCATGTCAAGTTTACAGCTTTATTAGACAGGTGAGCAAATGTTCATAAAACAAATCAATGTTATAACGTTAGCTTGACATGATGAAATGTTAAAATATGGTCAGTATATTCTTATGTTGCAAATGAACTTACACGTAGAATAACATTATAACTTTCAACACATTTAAAGGCCGTTTAGTGTGATAGTGTAACGTTATACCAAGGAACAGCGCTGCGTTTTTCCTCACAAGTTTAATTAATCTAATAAACTGACCTGTGTGAGTAATCCAGCACTTGCGTGTAGTTCAATAGGATGAAATTTCCTTATTCCTTTATATCCGCGGGATTCGCGTGTGATATGTCTCTTATTAGCAATCGCGACCTGCTTCATACAACTGTAATGTTAAAAACATGAGTGTTTTCACTAATCCATAAACATTATTGGATCTATCAGCTTGAAAGCAAGTCCCATCATTCAGCTTGACACTGCGTCATATTGTAGCTTTAACTATGAACTAACAATGAGCTATACTTTTTTTGCAATATTTATTAATCTTTGTTAATGTTGGTTAATAAAAATCCAGCTGTTCATTGTTTGTTGATTTGATGTATTAGCAAATGTAGAAGTGCAGTTCATTATTAATTCATGTTAACTAAAGTGGTTAACTTATTGTAAAGTGTTACCAAATGTTTTATTATTACTGTCATCAATACACCATACACTAGCAAAATGATTTATACTATTTATTGGTATGTGACTTTAGCTCTTTTTCTCCATGGAGAGATTGTAATTTTCCCATAATTCTCTGTGAATACGGGCCTTATTTCTTGGCATTTACTGTACACAAACAACTGGACGAAACCAGCAAAGATATGGCTGCCAGTTAGGAAACTAGCCAGGAACTAACCAACTGCCAGGAAACGTTTACAGAGTTTCTGCACCTTACTAAATCCTAGCAATCGATCATGATCCTCAGTAAGCACTGCTCTTAACAAGACACATTCAGAGGAAAAGGAGAACACATCTGGTCCATATTTGAACGAGAGAAAAAATTAGTCCAAGCCAAACTAATTATTCAGCACCACAGAGAGGTATTAATACAAAAAATATTTACTTGCGTCATTGTAATGTTACATGTGGGTTAGTCTTGTCTAGCCAGATCTTTGGCTAAAATCAGATCCACATTGCTGCTTATTCTGGACAAGCATCCAGAAACCATCTGCTTACACAGGATCTTACATCTGTCTGACACATTTGACCCCTTGGGTAAACTATGAAATGAACATTTTCCTTTTGACCTCTTACTGTATGTTCTGTTTTTAAACATATTTTCCTATCATTCTATTCTTTATATATATATATATATATATATATATATATATTTCATTTACAATTCTACTCTCTATTATTGTATATATTTTACATAAGTAAAAATTACTGTGTATTCAGGTCTATCATTCTACAGTATACTGTATATCTCTCTCTCCCTCTCTCTCTCTCTCTCTCTCTCTCTCTCTCTATATATATATATATATATATATATATATATGAAGAGTTCAGATGCAAAAGCCTCTAAATGCCATTTGAAATTTTCTTCTTTAATGATGATTTTTATCAAACTTGTATATTTAAGTTCAGTAATTTCACTTAAATGGCAATGATAATTACCTATTAATTGTTATTTAAGTGAAATTACTGAACTTAAATATACAAGCTTGATAAAAATAGTCATTAAAGAAGAAAATTTCAAATGGCATTTAGAGGCTTTTGCATCTGAACTCTTCATATATATATATATATATATATATATCTGTATACAGTATCTGAGTGTCTTTTCTCTTTCTTTGTACAGTAAAGATCTGCAGTTTATGAACAGACTTCATCTTAGTCTGCTCTGGTTGCATTCGTGTAAGTAAAAAAGTGCTTAATAAAAATAGTGTACATTTATGTATACTCTACCATACAAAAAAAGTTTGTGTTCCATAGGATTTTGTATTATTAATACTTAATTAATACCTTTATTCAGCATGGATCCATTAAATATCTAAAGTGACAGTAAACATGTTACAAATGATTTAAATTTCAAATAAATGCTGTTCTTTTGAACTTTCTGTTTATCAAAGAATATCAAATTCCAAAAAAAAATGACAAAATTAAGTAGCACCACTGTTGACAATATGTTTCTTGAGCAGCAAATCAGTTTTACAATGATTTCTGAAGGATCTTATGACAGTAATGAAGACTGGAGGAACCATGCTGAAAATTCAGCTGTGCCATCACAGGGATAAATTACACATACACTGTATATCAATGACATTAAACTCAAAAACAATTATTTTAAATTGTAATGCTATTTTACAATATTACTGTTTTTGATCAAATAAATGCAGCCTTGGTGAGAATGAGACTGCATTAAAATCCTCAAAACTTTGAACTGAAAAATGACAGATAAGAATATAGTCAGTCAGCTGCTGATTATTAATGTCAAACATGTGAAATTATATTTACATTTACTTGTTTTTTATGTTTATATGTTTTATGTCTCCATGTTTTACTGTTTGAGCTGTATGAGAATATATATAAAACATTTGGTGAAAACTCCAATTACATACAACAGATGATTTCCTATGATGAAATAATAACAATATTGTTTTCAATCCATGATTTTAAATACGGTCAAGGAGTTCTTGTAAAGAGTTGTTTATTCTCTCAGCTGAACAACTGTGGATACATTTATTCAGCACACTTTGGAGGGCTGTATGAACACTGCAATGTCATGCCATATATTGGCTGGGTAATGATGAGTCATATGTGCGTTTGTATGCTTGCTGAAGAGTTGGTGACTCAGTGGCTCTTTCCACTGTTTTATTGGCAGCTTAGAGAGCTTGTAGTTGCAGAGCGGGGTTGTAAAATGGAT